AGAAGTGCAGGGAAGGAAGAGTGGGCCCAAGCTTAACGTATAATGGTAATGAGGCATATTGTGGCACAAGTAGTCAAAGCAACTCCACCTGTGATTCTGCAGGGCCCAGATGCCCTTTCTTTCTGTGGTGAGTCCTCATTAAGTTCCCTTTGAACTGAGGCATTGAAGTTGGCAATGAATTCGACCTCAGCTGCTAGGCTTATATTATATGGCTCTCCAAAAACATGGATTCTCAGCAATAGTGGCTCAGCTGGACCTGCTCCCAGCAGCACAGGGCTGGTGCTTCTGCTAGAGAAGAACAATGGCTTCTTGGGGGCTCATCACAGGTGTTAGGATGGATAAGTTGATCTGTTGGACTCCCTGGGTTGGCCCTTCAATGGGCCCTGCAGCTTTAGGCTTGGAAGAGTGTGAAAATCTGCTCTTTCAGCTCAAATGCTACTAGGCTCTTTCAGAAGGTAGAGATCTTTGGACCAGTGTTGGAAGAAGCTTCTCCAATTCAGTCTTCCAGGAATGGGGTGGGAAAGGTATTCCCTCTGTCCTTCCTCTTGCTTGACAATTCTTCTGTCATGTTCTCTCAGTACAGCCAGATTTATGATGACCATTTCCCAGAGTCCTGCTGGGTCTTAAATGAAAGGAGTGTCTGGAAATGAAAGGACTGAAGTAATTTGTGCCCAAAGATAAGTTAATTGCCCTTTTCATATGGAATTGAAGTCCAGAATCCATCCAACTGGTAGGATGCTTCCTTTATATCTGAATGGGGTCCACACTTAGATTTCATTTTCTTTGTCTTTTCCTCTTATGACCTTCAACCTTGCTAATGTCTAAACATAGCTCACTCATATAGAAATGCTCTTTTTTTTCCTGAGTATATTTTATATCCCAATTCTTTACTAAAATTGCTAATTATCTCAACTAGTACTGATCTCCTAGAATTCTCTAAGTAAACCATAATGTTATCAGAAAATGGGAAAATGTGTGTCCTCTCTTTGCCTACCCTGATGCTATTTTAATACTTCTACAAAGATGTCAAATTATACTAGGAAAAGTGGGCATCCTTGCCTTATCCCTCTATTTATTGGGAAAGCTTCTAGTGTTTCTCCAATTGTCTCTATCCCACAAATACCTATTCCTTTTTCTACCTGAGCACTGTGCCTCCCCCATACTTCTGTTGGTTTTTCATATTTAAATGTTTTCCTTGTTTTTTCTGATTTGTTTGGGGTTTTCTTTTCTAGCTTGTGGTTTTACACAGTTTACTTTTTCTTATATCAAAGAAAGATTCACCTCTGCCTCTATGAATTTGACAGTGAGGGTTAAAGCATGGGGTGTTATACTTCACTGAAGACTTTTTTCCTGATTTATTGATATAATCATGTCATTTTGGAAGCTTTCTTTTCCATTTCATTATGTTAATTATTTTCCTGATGGTGAATTATCCTTGCATCCCCACTGTAAATCCAACTCCATTGCAGTAAATGATTTTTTTTGATAAATTGTTTTAGTCTTTATGCCCAGATTTTGTTTAAAGTTTTTGATGGCTATTCATTCATAACATTTGATCTATAATTCTCTTTGTTTAATTCTTCCTGGTTTAGATGCTGTTTTTGTTGATGTTCAGTCACATCTGACTCTTCGTGACCCCATAGACCATGTTATCCATAAAGACACTAATGTGCTTTGCCATTTCCTTTTCCAGGGGATACTTTTGTCAGACAAACTGAGGTTAAATGACTTGCCCAAGGTCACATAGCTAGCAAGTGTCTGAAGCTGGATTTAAACTCAGGTCTTCCTGACTCCAGCTGCAGATTTAGATGTTAGGGATATTCTTATCTCACAGAAGGATTTTGGTAGAGTACTTTCTCAATTTTCCAGAATAATTTGTGTATATGAAAATAACAAGTTTTTAAAAGTTTTATAAAATGGTCTAGTCCAGGGATTCCCACTCTTCTCTCTCTTCCACATCCTTTATAACTAGTTCATATTATTTTTTCTGAAACTAGATTATTTCAGATCTCTAGTTGGTCTTGTCCATGTGGATAATTTATATTTTTATTGATAAATTATTTCTTTTGAGTTCTCAGTTTTGCTGACATGTAACTATAGACAACAGATTCAGATAATTTTTTAAATTATTTTCCATGTTTGTTCCTTTTGGTGTTTCATGGTGGTTCCTTTAAGCACAATGTAATTTCCTTACTTATTTCTATTGGTGATATAAATTTTTATTACTTCTTTGTCTCATAGCATGATCGCAACTCCTCCTATTTTGGATTTGCCTAATGCATAGTGAATTTTCTTCTAGACTCTCATTTTGAAACTATTTACTTTGGTTTTTAAGATGTATTTCTTATATAAAACAGTTGAAGGACCCCTCCATAGTCTTGTAATCTATCAGTTCCAGTATGGCTTCACTTGTATCTCTACATAACCTAGACCCCTCGATCTGACATTTTCAACTAGATTCTTATTAGTGAAGAAGGTTGATCAAGAGAGATTTGTAATCACCTTGAAGAGCTTAACCTGTGGATGACCTTTATTTTGGACTTGGATCACCTAGAGATAAACTGGTTGGTTGTATTACTCTAAATTGGAGATGAATTGATTGCTTTGGGGTTTGGGTGGATGGAGCAATCCCCCCAAACCTGGCCTATGAAAAAGAAGGTCAGTTTTTGAGTTACCCTTTTCTGTACTTTTCTTTATTTAGAAGACTAGAAGCACTGAGAGGAAACCTAAAGCCTGGGGATGGGAGGCTGAACATTGCTTTCCCCTCCAGCCTGGGAGCCCCTACCACCAGCCTTGGGGCAGAAGAACACTGTTGCGTGTACAGCTTGAAAGAAATGTTCTTTAACCCCGTGGAAAGGACCTCAGCAGTTAGTTAATCCAACCTATATTCTGAATAGCAGCTCCAGCACAGCACACCAGACAAATGGCCATACAGCCTTTGTCTGAAGACCTCCTCTGGAGGTCAAACTTGACATGTTCCTATGCAGTCCATTCTTTTAAGCTAGAGCTGATAGTAAGCTTTCCCGACACCCATCTTATTAGACCCTTTGCCACTTTCCACTCATCTCGCTTAGTTCTAATACCTGGGGCCTCACCAATGTGTTTCCCATTACAGCAGACACAATTAGCTGTCAGAAAAGACAATTGCTAAGATGGCCTAGTGAAAAACAGTAGCCACAAAATATTCTCTCTGAACCCTAAGGGGCAGTCTTCCACAAATACTTACAATACCCTTGAGAAAAGGGAAATTGATCTTATAGTACATATTGGCTCATAGAGCACATGTGTAAGGGAACTTATTTGGCAAAAGCTACTCACTCCTCTGGTCCTGTTGGGTCTTAAATTCCTATCTCTCCTCATATAGTCAGTCTACAGGAGTCTCGAATCTCCCTCCTTGGTCAAAGCATTTCCGCCCCATAGGTTGCTCCACTGGGCTCCCTGAGTCTGCACCTTTCCATACTTTGATACTTAACTTCATTGGGGCTAGTCTCTTGAGTCCATAGCTGGTTCTCTTTTCTGCTGTCAAAGGTCAAGTTCCTTTAAGTTACTGGGATGACTTTCCCTCAGTATCCAAGTCTGTCTAGGAGCAGTGCTTCTCCAAGTAAGGGTCATAGACCCATGAGAGTCCCCTGAAGCCCTTTGCACAAAATCAAAACAATTTCCATCATAATACTAAGACATTATTTGTCTATTAAAATAGTTCTGCCTTTTCCATCTATATATTTGTTTAAAGCCAGATTTTCTGCAAACACTTCAACCAAAATAACATATCATTACAGATTGAAGGCATAATCAAAATGGAGAATCCAGCTGTCTTCTATTAATTCAGACATTAAAGAAATGTGGAAAAATACAATGCCACTCCTCATTTTGTTTTGGAAATATATAGTTATTTTTCACACAAAAAATAGTTTGATGGATTGATTAAAATAAGAAAGAAGGAAAAGGAAGGAGGGAGGAGAAACTATGACAAGGAAGAGAGCAAATGGTTGTGATTTCACTACTGTTTGCCAAAGTGATAAGCCCAGAGCTGGAGTCAAAGCACAGAATATGAGCTGGCACCACTACATTACAAAATAGGTGCCAAGGGGCAGGGACATTCTTTCCCCTATCCTTTGTCCCTCTCTCCTTAGGGAGAGATGAATACATTGTGGGTAATACATTCACTTTAAACTTCCTGCTTCCTTCTTGCCTTGGGAAGTGTTGACCTTTGTTCTAAATGTTTATTTATTTCTTGGGCCAGTAAATGTCATAAAGCTAATCATCATAAACCCAAACTGTAGCATTCTACCTAGAATCTGTTTATCTGTATCTAAATATCTATGTATATCAACATATCTATAAAAATCTATAAATATTGATATGCCTATCAATATTGATACTGATTAACATTAATATTGATATCAATTTAAATAGATATCTACTGATGAGTGTGTGTGTGTGTGTGTGTGTGTGTGTGTGTGTGTGTGTGTGTGTGTGTGTGTGTGTAAGTGGGATTTCTTTTTTAGAGATGAGATATTTTTGCCTAATTGAATTAGGTTGGGGATTTGGAGTCATACATTACAGCAGCTGGCGAGCAGAGTGAGGAGGCTAGTGTCACACACTGTACTGCTGGCAAATAGCCTGAGATTAGGACAATTCTGATTTTTAAAAGCCCCCAAAGCACTTGAGCAAAGCATTTTCATCTCCCTTTTACCAGAGGGCAGTTGTTTGCTCTGAAGAGCTTGAAAAGAGAAGTATGCCCCCACAGAAGAAGGAGCAGAAAGTTGCTTGGAAAAGGAAAGCCCCCCCAGAAGCAGACTGAGCGGCTAGGGAAGGCTATCCCAGCCAAGGAAGGAGGAAGCCCTGTCCTACTGGCATCCTCAGACAGAGCCTCTGATTTAGTGTGCCTTGACTGCAGCACCACCTGGTGGCTAATAAATAGAAGAGACTCTCCTCTTCATTCATTATAAGACCATGGATAGGTTACTTTTAAACGGATTGAACAAAATAGCACTTACTTGCCAGTCAGCAGTTCATAGACTAGAATTCCTAGTGACCAAAAATCCACACTGAAGTCATGCCCTTTGTTGAGAATGACTTCAGGAGCTACATACTCCGGGGTCCCACAGAACGTCCAAGTTTTCTGTCCAGATCCAATCTTCTTAGCAAATCCAAAATCCACCTGGCAAAGAATGGCAGGCAGTTTGTCAGAATCTCTATAGATTGGGCTCTCCTCTCTTCCTCAAGCCTGACAAGTTAGAGCTATTGGCTTTCCAGGGACCTGAAGAGGCAAAAATCTACATCTGTTCTTTCTGTGTCTAGTGAAAACCTCTTCTTCCTCTTGCTTCAATATCCCACACTTGACACTGTCCTGTATTGTGCCTTGCCCACACACACACACACACACACACGCACATTTATCTACCAGACCTCAAGTCTGGCTGACTCAGGGGGCAACCTCCTGATCCCCCACAGCCATACATCTGTATCTGTCCTTCCAAAGGAGGAGCTGAGCCAATGCCGGAGACCCTTCCCAGGACCTAGGGAACAATTTCTACCCTGGCTCTAGAGTAGACCTCCTTTAGGACTTGAAGAGGCTTTCCGGCAGAATGGAACCATGAAGTAGGAGGTTCACTAAACCAGGAAAGGACCTTGATCTGAAATGTTGTCCTTTATCATCAGAATGTTTTGATGACTAATTTCCTTGGAATAGGGGTCTCCCAGGTAGGAAACTCCATTCACCAATGTAGCTTGGCAACTATACTGCAGAGGAGAATATTCTTAGATAGTTTTCTGAGGCACTGAGAGTTATGGCTGCACAGACAATATAGTTCCTAAATAGGACTTGAGTCTAATTCTCCAACTACCCTCTACTACAGAAGTGTCGGATACAGCTCACAATGCTGTCCCAAACAGAATGTAATGTAATTTACCAAAATAAGTGGCGATATAATAGAACACAGATAATGTTAATATGTGATTTTTCTAAGTTAACATGCAGTCTGCAGGAATCCTTAGGTGCAGTTCTATTTGAGTTTGATGTCATTGGTCTATACTGCACAAGGACTGGATGAATTAAAAGACTCCCTTCCCCTCTCCACCCTCCCCACCACCAGAGATGTGTATATAAATTGTATCTGGGCTTCCAAAGGCACCTGATTTCTTGATAATATTGCAATGGTCTTAACCAAAAATAATGAAAGAAAATAATGATAGGTTTTGGATTTAGTAGTTAGCCTCCCAATTAGGAGCCAAACATTACTTATTTTGAGAAGGAAAAGAAAAGGAATAAAGAGGAAAGGAAAGAAAAAGAAAGGGAATGAAAATGGAAAGGAAGGTATCATATTACCATAGAGATAGGCAGCAAGGTGGTGAAATGGACAGAATGCTAGGCCTGGAGGTAGGAAGACCTGAGTTCAAAGCCAGTCTTAAATACTTTCTAGCTATGTGACCCTGAGCAAGTCACTTAAACTCTGCCTGACTCAGTTTCCTCATCTGTAAAATGGGAATAATAATAGCACCAAACACCAGAGTTGTTGTGAGATCAAGTGATATAATATTTGTAATTTTTAGCACAGTGGCTAACACATAGTAAGTTTTAGCAGCTCCTCAGGTGAGGACGTCCCCATTTCTTTTATCTGATTCTCAGATGTCAAAAACTCAGAGCTCATCACCATCCTTATTGTCCTCTGGTGGACATTTTCCTACTTTATCAATGTTCCTTCAAAAACATGGCACAAATTACTGAAAACCACACAACAGATATAATCTAACAAAGTCAAGAAGACAGCAGGGCCATTACTAGCTTCCTCCTCGATACTATGCCTTTTTAAAACTTCAGCCTAATAACAATAGCAACAACAATAATAATAATAGCTAACATTTATAAAGCACTTCCCATGGGCCAGGCACTGTATCTCATTTCATCCTCACAACAATCCTGGGAGCTAAGTACTATTATCATCCCCATTTTACAGATGAGGAAACTAAGACAAACAGAGATTAAGTGACTTGCACAAAGTCACAAAGCTAAGAAACGTCAACGGCCGAATTTGAACTCAGATCTTCCTGACCCCAGGCCCTTTATTCTATACACTGTACCAAATATTTATACCCTAAGCCTAAGGTATCACTAGCTTTCTTGGCTCCCATATCATACTGTTAACGCATCCTCAGCTTGCAATTCACTCCAATTTAGAGATTTTTTTTTTTCAGACAAACAGTTGGATAGTCTCCCTTCCTAGATGAAACCAAACCATAATAACTCTTGGATTTGGCAACAACAATGAATTCTGAACCCACCTAATCATGATACCGCCTAGTCCACACTGCTCCATCTTTTCCACAAATGGAGTTCTTTGGTGTCTCACACTATGAGTACTTTTAAATGTACAAGGTTGCGTTATCCAAGAAAATCTATTTCCCAAGTTTTAGGGTGGCCGCTTAAGCCAAAGAACTCAGATAAATCCCCAGAAAGAAGTCCATCATAACAGAAGTGCCTCTGACACAAGAGTTGCGAACAAGTCAGGGAAGATCCTCTCATCATCTCGAGAAAATTAAACCAGCATAATTTGAAGAGGGATTCTTGCACCCACATGGGATTGCTCACTCAGACTATTCTACATTTATGAGACTGTCAAGGATATTAAGAAGTACTTTTGAAATGATCCGAGCTCTTTATACAGAGCAAGGGAAATGGTGTGGGACTGCCTACCTAACTTTGTAAGCCTGGAGTTTAATGGACAAGCAAGCAAGCAATGTTTAATTTTATTTTTATGTCTAGATAAATGAAATCGCAATCTTATGTTTGAAATTGCTTTTTTACTCATTTGTTCACTGCATTTAAATTCTTTCCATTTATGGAAGAGAGGAAGGCCATTAACGCATTTACAAAAGTTGCTAGAGAAGTACATTTTAGTTGGAATAACTGATTCCATGTAATCTTTGTCTTGGAGGACATGGAGTGATAGAATCTGGGCATCATTAACATGGATATTTATTGCTAGAAAACCTCCAGAGTTCATTTGGCAGCATTTAGTTTATTACCTTTCATTCCAGATTCATAGTGAGCAGATACCTTAGTAGGAAAAACCTTAGGAAAAATCCTTTCATCCACTAAACAAAATCATGCTTGTAATAACTTACGAGAGAAGTTGGCTTTGCATGTATTGATCTCTACACTCTCCAGTAATAAGATGGCAAAAATTTTACAAAAGTGGTGTGATGAATGAAAAGTCAGAGAAACATAAGTTCTGAGTAATTAATAACCAATTTATTAATATGGCTAACAAATAATCTATAAAATGAGGTCAACGAACCTCTCAGAAGCCAAAGAGGACCCTTGAGGTCCCTGGATACTTAAATACTCTTGAAAAAGGGGTTGTCCTTGACAGGTGGAAATAGACTCTGATTTGTTATTAATTAATGAGAGAATAGATATTATAATGAGAGATAGGCTTATTCTAATGAGTAGCTGGAGTATGTGACTGACCTTGTTAGTATAGACTAAGAGACTCATCTCCACATTCAGATCATTCCACCTCCAGCAATCTATACAAAAGGATCTATCTTCTACCCAGACCACCTAGTGTAGTTGAACAATGGGCCAGAATACACCTAGATTATGTCCTCTTTACCCTTTAATCAGAAATTTGCTTTCCCAGTTGGGTGCTACCTTAGGCTTTGGGTATAAGTATGTGGTGCAGTGGATAGAGCACAGGGCCTAGAGTCAGGAAGACCTGAGTTCAAATTTGGCCTCAGACATTTCTTAGTTTTGTGGAAAATATTAACTCAATCTTGTCCTTCAGAGGCTGCTTTGACCTAATATTGAAATGGGGAGACAGAAAGGGAAAAAGAACCTGGACTTCCCACTCCCATATCAATTGGTTAATCATAATCATTTGTCTCAGTGTAATACACTTTTAAACCCACAAAAATAATTAAAGGTAAAACAATGAGATTTCAAATGTCTTTGCAAAGCCACAATGAAAGCCTCAACATTTGGAAGGGTTAAAGCTTATCCATTGTGGCTTTCTTGTGCTGAAGTCTCCTGGAGATATTAGCAGCTCCTTAGGGCTAGTTCACAAATAAGATGCCTTGTATCATGCCCTAATACTCTAGATTTCATAATAAAAATAATAACCAGTCCAATGCAAAGTGAGAGGCAAAGAATTCAGGAAAAGTATTTGTGCGACTTTTTTTAGACAATTTATTTTAATCGTGTCTAGACATGGTTAATTCTTCTACTTTCTTAATTCTTACAGTGTTAAAAGTTCCGAGTTAAAAGTGCTAAAAAGGGGTAAGAGAATGTATTGTAAATGATGAAAAAGACAAAGATGTCATTATGATAAAGATGGAAAATCACATGAGAAGAAATGTTTCATAGCAGAAAGCAGCTTTTCTGCAGGTTAATGGTAATTCACTTATACTAAAGAAAGGGAATGTGAAAGTGAGACTCATTACAATAAGATAAAGAACTTCTAGGTTAACCTTGTGGTGGGTCTTGAGAAAGAGCATGGGAAGACATTTCAAGGAGGAAAATACATAACTTAATATTATTATTAGTTATTTGACATATATGAGCTGCTATTGGTTCATGAAGTATAATTGTAGTTGGCTTCTAAGGCAGCTGGTGACATGATAGATGGAGTCAGGAAGACCAAATCCAGTCTCCGACACTGACTAGCTCTGTGAGCCTGGGGCAAGTCACTTCATCTGTTTCCTTTAACATAAAATGAGGATTAGAGTAGCATCTACCTTTCAGGATTGTTGTAAGATTTACAAAAAGCATTTAGCACAGTGCCTGGCACATAGTAAATGCTATATAAATGCTTATTCCCATCCCTTCATAAAGTTTCTTTTTAATAACTGAAAGCTGTAAATTATTAATATTTTTTAAACCAGTAGATTGTGGCTTGTGGAAGAACTTTCTAAAAACAGAAGTACATTTCTTTCTAATGTATCAGTCACTTGGCTTCTCTAATACCTGTGGAAAATGACCTTAAAGTACTTATTTCCTTTTGATGGTTTAACTTCAAAAATCTTCAAAGCAGTTTAAGAAACATTAATAAAGGGATAAGATTAAAAGAAAGAATGATTTTGCCATTTTGTGTTATCGGCCCACCTCCTAGAGTCATTGCAGTCCTAGAAAGTGAAATTGGAGAATGAACATGAAATACAGCTAGCCTTGAATCAAATTATTTTTGTAAGATCCTTCCAAAAGTCTAGGTGGTGATTACAGAAATGCAAATTAAAACAACTCTGAGGTACCACCTCACACCCGTCCAATTGGCTAATATGACAGAAAAGGAAAATGATAAATGTTGGAGAAGATGTGGGAGAATTGGAACACTAAGGCATTGTTGGTGGAGTTGTGAACTGATCCAACCATTCTGGAGAGCAATTTGGAACTATGCCCAAAGGGCTATAAAACTGTGCATACCCTTTGATCCAGCAATACTACTACTAGGGCTGTATCCCAAAGAGATCATAAAAAAGGGTAAAGGACCTACATGTACAAAAATATTTATAACAGCCCTTTCTGGGTGACAAAGAATTGGAAATTGGGGGATGTCCATCAATTGGGAAATGGCTGAATAAGTTGTGGTATATGAACATAACGGAATACTATCGTTCTATAAGAAGTGATGAGGAGGAGGATTTCAGAAAAACCTGGAAAGACTTACATGAACTGATGCTGAGAGAAGTGAGCAGAACCAGGAGAACACTGTACACAGCAACAGCCACGTTGTGCGATGACCAACTTTGATAGACTTAGCCCTTCTCAGCAATGCAGGGATCTAAGACATCTCCAAAAGTCTCATGATGGAAAATGCTATCCACATCCAGAGAAAGAACTATGGAGTCTGAATTCAGATGGAAGCGTACTATTTTGTCTCTTTTTTTCTTTCTCATGGTTTTTCCCTTTTGTTCTGGTTCTCTCACAACATGACTAATGTGGAAATACGTTTAATATGATTGTACAAGTATAGCCTATATCAGATTGCATGCCATCTTGGGCATAGGGGAGGTGAAGGAGGAGAAAAAATGAGGAACTTCAAAATTTTATAAAAGTCAATGTTGAAAACATCTTTACATGTAACTAGAAAAAAAATACTACTAAGGGAGAAAATAAAATGCTACAGAAGTAATAAATAAATAAATAAATAAATAAATAAATGAACAAAATTTTTTTAAAAAGTCTGGATGGTTTTCAAGTACAATGGTATAGTTGTTTAATTCTCTCAGTTTCTCATATTCTTCCTTGGCTGGAATGTCTGATAAAAAATGAAATAATTTATTTAGCTAACCTCCTCTTTTTACTAGTCTGATTGGCCATACTCAATATCTTTTGCAGGGTTATCACCCCCATGTGTAGGTATATCCTTATTGTGGGTTCACTATGATGCATATACCCTTATCTCTCTCCTGACTTCCAATCCCATATCTCTAGGGGACCTGTTGGACATCCTGACCTGGATGGCATCTCAAAGGCACTATGTTTAAAACAGGACTCATTATCTTCCCCAAGCACTCTATTCTCTTTTTTTTAACATATAAAGTGTTATTTATTGGGGGTTTAACATTTTTATTTAAAGTTTTGGGTTCCAAATTCTATCCCTCAGCCCCCTCCCTGAGACAGTAAGCAATAAGACATAGGATATACATGTGCAATTACATAAAGCATTTTCACATTAGTTGCTTTGTATAAGAAGACTCAAATAAAAGGGAAAAAATGAAAGAAAAAGTGAAAAATAGCATGTTTTAGTCTGTATTCAATCAATATAAGTTCTCTCTCTGGAGGCAGATGCTATGCTTCATCTTTAGTCCTTTGGGATTGTCTTAGATTATTGTATTGCTGAAAGTAGCTAAATCATTCACGGTTCTTCATCAAACAATATTGCTTTTACTGTGTGCAGTGTTCTCCTGGTTCTGTTCACATCACTCAGCATCAGTTCATGTAAGTCTTTCCAGGTTTTTCTGAAATCGTCAGGCCTGTCATTGGTGATGATTGTGGTTCTCACAATTATTATTCTATTATAATTATTATAAGTATTGTAGCCCAATAATGTTCCATTACAACCATATACCACAGCTTGTTTAGCCATTCCCCAATTGATGGGCATCCCTTTGATTTCCAATTCTTAGCTACCACAAAAAGAGCCGCTATAAATATTTTTGTACAATATATTTTTTTTGGATGTCTTTGGGATGTAGACCTAGCAGTAGTATTGCTGGATCAAAGAGTATGCACAGTTTGATAACCCTTTGGGCATAGTTCCAAATTGCTCTCCACAATGATTGATCAGTTCACAACTCCACCAACAATGCATTAGTGTCCCAATTTTCCCACATCTCCAATATTTATCATTTTCCTTTTCTGTCATATTAGCCAAGTAGGTGTGAAGTGGTACCTCAGACAAACATTTTAGTCTTCCCAACTTTCCTGTTCTTTTCAAGGGTGCCATCATTCAAACAGCACTCTAGTATTATAATCTAGGAGACATCCTCAATTCTTCACTCTCACCCCACCATATCCACTCAGTTGCCGAGTCTTGCCTATTGCTTCCTCCTCCTCATCTCTCACATCCTTTCCCTTTTCTCTATTCACACCACAACCACTGTAGCTCAGGTCCTCTTCACCTACTTACTGGACTATTGTAAAATCTCTTAATTTGTTTCCCTGCATCTAACCTCTTCTTTTTCCACCCTCTTCTCCACACAGTTGCCAATTTGATATTTCTAAACTACAGGCTTTACCACGTCACTCCCCTTCTCAAGAAGCTTCAGCAGCTCCCGATTGCCTCGAAAACAAAATATATACTCCTGTTTAGCATTAATGCTTTCACAATCTGGTTCCAGTCTATCCTTCCAAGCTGATTATATATTATTCCTCCTTGACCACCCCACATCAGTCAAACTGGTGTGTGTCTTCCTTGTATATGACATTCCATTTCCAACCTTTGTTCCTGAACAATTCTTTTGATAATAAGTTACAGTCTAATCATACCAACCTCATCCTTTTCCTCTTCCTTTTCCTTTTGAGTGACCCAATTCTTAAATTTTTGTCAGAGACTTCTATATCACTTGACTCAAAGTTATATAGATATAAATAGCTTCTCTAATAAAATATTGTTTAAAATAAGTTTTGTTTGTTAATACTTTATAAATCTTTTATAAATTTACCTTTTATAATCCTAGTTTAATCATAAAATTTGCAGGTAAAAACACAGCATTCATCACAGTACACTGGGTGGTTAACCGAATAGTTTTTAGGGGGGTGGAATGGGGAGGAGTGTCAAAGGGGCACTGTTAACATGACAATTGCACCAAACTGAAGAGGATAATAACAATCATGAACCAACTTTGCAATGAGAAAATTCTGTAATAATTCACTTGCTACAGTAATAATCTTACCAGTTTAAGGTATCCCTCAGCATCTAGAATTAAATTCTCTGGCTTTAAATCCCTGTAGATAATACCCAGGCGATGTAAATAATCAAATGCTTCTGTCACACAGGCAACACAGAACTTAGAAGTGGGTTCATCAAAACTGCCCCTGCAATCAAAATCATTTTAACAGTTGATACTTTCTGGTCTACAAGAGCCATTTCTCAATAGATAAGCAATCAACCAATTAGAGAACAAACAGTTCTTGAAAGAAGAATTGCAAACGATTAACAATCATATAAAAAAAATGATATGAATCTCTAATGCAAGAGAAACATGTAAATCAAAATACCCTGAGATTTTACCTCACTACCAGCAAACTGGTAGAGATGACAAAAATATGGTAGTATTAAAGGTTGGAAGGTTTCTGAAAATACAGCAAATACACTGCCGGTAGAGCTGTAAATAGGCCTAATGATTCGGGAAAGTAATTTGGAATTAGGCTAAAAAAGTGACTAGTGCCCATCTCCATGGCCTGGAGATCCAATTGCTCAGTATGTACTCCAAGAAGGTTAAAGGCAGAAAGAGCGGTGCCAAACACCAGAACACTGACAGCAGCACTGCTCGTGGCAGCAAGCAAGTAGGAACCTACTCCTCTATTCCACTCCAGCCACAAAGATGGTCATACCCTTGATCTTTCCAAACCCCCAAAACAGGCCACCAATTCCACATCTATGAACTCTGAAATTCCCTTACCTGAACACCATCTATTGGCTTTCCACCTCTCTCCTTCTGCCTTTTAACCCCAAACCCTGTTCTTCGTCCATACTACAACTTCTAAACCCACAACCCTCCATTGTCTCTCAGTCCATGACCCCTGCACAAGCTGTGCTTGTCTCATTTCCCACTTTGAACCCTTGGTGAAACAGTTCAACTCTACACTATCTCTTCTCTTGAATACCTTGCCCCCTTATCATACCACTGATCTTGCCAGGCCAAGTCTCAGCTTTGGATTACTGCACCATCTTCTGTCTTCCTTCCTATACACACACCTCTGAATGAAGGTGAAGAAAACCACAAAACCTTGTTGACTACAAATTTATCTTATATAATGTCAACCGGGCTCTCACTGCTGCGAGGCAATTCTTTTGCATCTCCCTAAATAATTCACAATCTCACTCCAGTAGCTCTTCCAAGCCTTTTTATTCCTCCTCAAACCTTCCATGGCTCCCCATTTCCCCACTCCCTCACCTGAAAACCCTGCTTCATATTTCAGTGAAAAAAATTTAGACCATTCCCTGTGAGCTCCCTCTTCTCACCTACTCCTCACCTCACACCACCCAGATGCCTCCTGCTACTATCTCCTTCACCCCGTCTCACATGAAGAGGTGACCCTTCTCTTTGACAAGATAAATCATGCAACTACTGACACAGGTAAAGTGATAGAACTCTGAAATTCAATTTTAGATTCTAAAGAATGACTTGGGAAGACCATGCTCATTTTTAATTAGCATGACTTTTAATGGCAATTTTTTGGACAGTCAGAATTTAGAACAAAACTATTCCCTGGCTCACCACTGTGTTCGTATTACAACTATCTTGTGCTAGCTCACACCTAATTTTGTGCACTGACTTCCTAAAATATAGTAACGATTACATTTTTAAATATACTATCCCATAAGGTTTACAAAAAGCCTTAATATTTTCAGTTCTAGATGCACAGATACACCTAGAAATCCTTTTCCCCTGATTTCTGATGCTTCTGTATACTGAGTCAATCAGTCAATCAGCATTTGTTAAGCACCTACTATGTGCCAAGCAGTGTGTTATACCAGGGCACCAAAGGTTAGAAGATGCCTGCATCTTCACCCATATGGACCCCTATGCTGCTGTAATAACTCCCTATGTCTCTCTGCCTCCAGAATCTTTCACATTTTTTTAAATAAATTTTTATTGATATTTTGGTTTTACCAGAATTATTCCCAAGGTCCCTCACCCTCACTCCTCTCAGAAAGTCATTCTATTTTACAAATAATATTTTTGAGAGGAAAAAAAGAGAAAGAGGAAAATTAGAAAAACAGATCAATACATCAAAAAACTTGGAAAATGTGTGCAATGCATTATGCCCCAAGGCCTCCCACCTCCACAGGGTAGGACCGTCTTAGCATATCTTATCTCTGAGGATATGCTTGTTCTTTGAAATTTTGCAAAGGTTACTTCTGATTGTTTTGTGGTGCTAACTGAATGCCCAGTAGACATCTTAAACTCACTATGCCCCAAACAGAACTTATTATTTTTCCCTTCAACCCTCCCTGCCTCCTCTCTTCCCTGTTACTGCAGAGAGCAATACCACCTTCCCAGTCCCTCAGGTTCACAAACTAGGGGTTAGCCTTGACTCCTCAGTATCTCTCACCCCCCCCACATCCACGCTGTTGCCAAGACCTGTTGGTTTCACCTTTGCAACATCTCTCAAATATGCCCCTCTTCTCCTCTGATACTTTGCCCACTCTAGTGCAGGCCCTCATCACCTCAAGCCTCTCCCCATTCCAATCCACCCTCTAGCCACCAAAATGAATTTTCCTAAAGTTCAGGTCTGATCATGGCACTTCCCTCTTCAATAAACCCCAGTGACTCCCTATTGCCTCCCCTTTATAGCATTCACTGTCCTCATGGACTCTTGCCTTTCCAGTGTCCTCATACCTTACTCTCTTCCAGATAGATAGACAGACAGACATATAGAGATCTACCCTTCAATCCAGTGACACTGGCATGGCATACTGGCTGTTCCCGCCAACAATACTCCATCTCTCTGCTCCATGCATTTTCTCTGGTAGTTCCCCATGCCAGGAACACTCTCCCTGCTCATTTCTCCCTAATGCTTTCCCTGACTTCCTTTAAGTCCCAACTAAAATCCTTTCTTTTACAAGGAGTTTTTCCCAACCTCTCTTAATCTAATGTCTTCCCTCTGTTTATTATTTCCTATTTACCTTGTACTGTTGTTTATCAATACATGATTGTTTGCTTGTTGTCTCACTCATTAGACTGTGAGCCCCAGGAGGGCAGGGACTGTTTTTCACCTCTTTTTGAGCCCCTAGCACTTAGCAAATGTCTGGCACATAAACACTTGACAAATGTTTATTGGACTGACTGTAAACGATGAGATGTTTCTGGTGCCTTGCCTCTCCTCCCCTTGCCTCACTCCAAGTCACAAGTCTTTCCCTTCAACACCCCAGTGTGAGTCATTACAATTCCCCCACTTTATGCCTCTTTCTCCCTCTCCCTGACCCAGCCTATTTCCCTGCTGAGTTTAATGTATTTCTAAACCATATTCTGTGTGTGTGTGTGTGTGTGTGTGTGTGTGTGTGTGTGTGTACGCGCGCGCAAGGGTCCTCTACCTTCCTTTGTCCCGTTCAGATGAAAATGAGGTTCATGGCATACATGTCCCCTTCAATACCTCTTTTTCTATGTTTGTACTCATCTCATGCACCCCCTCCCCAACTCCTTTCCCTTTCCTTCTCCAAAGATCATAAAAAACAAGACAAAACCACCCCCACACCTTTAGTCAGTCTTAATTTTCTCTCTAACCCTGGCAGAAATTAGTGCAATCAGAGGCCCAATTCCCACGTATACAAATTTGCAAACCCTTCCAAGCTTCTTTTGTCTCCTGCATTTACATTTCAAAGTGTTCTTTCTGGTGCATTTTTAGAACTTTAATGTAGTATTTGTAAGAGAACTGAGCTCCTCTAGGTCCCAATAAACCACCATCTTCCCAGCTTTGATATTTATAAACTCATCTAGCAGAGTCACAAGCCACGAGAATTTTCCTGATGACTCCCTTTATTCACAAACAAATTAAACCAGAGTTGGAAAGGATGACTATACTAACATTCTGAAGAGGGATGGGGAGGGTCATCTAAGACAGAATATTTAGGTTTTTGCTATTTTGTGAACTTCCCAAGCAGGGTAACAGACTATGTGAAACTGGACCTTATGAGTCCCACTGAGCACAAATGAGGTTTTTTAAGTGACATTAGGGACAGAGGTTGGTAAGCAGAAGGATATTTAAAGCAAGTTACCCCCATTGCATCCTGGGCCATCTCCAGGCGCCCTGATCTATATCTCACCACTGGACCCAGATGGCTCCAGAGGACAAAGTGAGGCTGGTGACTTTGCACAGCTCTGCCTCACTTAAACCCAATTCTCTTGCAAGTCATGGCATCCCCCCCCCCCATATCATGGTTCTCTTCAAGAATGAAGGTCAAGTAGTAACAACAAGAAAACAACCCCCACTATTGTTCTATGCCTGGCTGGGTTCCTCTTGAGTAAGGGCTAGAGGGGACACCCTGAGGCAGGGAAAGCGTACCCACGTGTGGCTGAAGGGAGGAGTTACAAAGGGAGGGCCATCATTCTAACAGCTTATTGCCATTCAGTCAGGTCCACTCCTCCTGACCCTCTGGACCATAACATACCAGGCCCTTCTACCCTCCACAATCTCTCCAAGTCTGTCCAAGTTCATGTTCATTGTCTCCATGAGGCTATCTATCCATCTCAGCCTCTGCCATCCCCTTTTCCTTTTGCCTTTGATCTACCCCCATACAACTCATTGATATGATTCATGCTGAGGTATCTTTCTTTTTACTTTTCTTTGACTGCTACTGGCTTTTCCTAATTCCTTTCTACACACATTCTTTTTTCCTCTCATAAGACCTCCCATTTTCATTGTGCATGATATGTAGCCATCTGGAGAACAGATCTCTATCTGTACGCACATATGTAGAAACAGATATAGATTTAAATAATTACAACTTTATAATTACCTGTCTCTTAGGATACTCCACAGTTCCCCACCTAAGCAGGCCTCCAAGAGCATATAGACATACTTTCTGTCCTTGAAAGTGCGATAAAATCTGTGAAGACAGATAATATAATCAGAAACATAAGTTTAGAACTATCTAACCTTAAAATTGACTAACTGTATCATCAATTACATGTCTAGGTGCTAGCACTGAAAGTGTCTTGTTATAGCTACATAAAGAAAAGTGGAGCATTCTTAGTGAACCTAGGCCTGTATCAATATCACCTCTCTATAGACAACAATGACATCTCTAGAACAGGGATGGGGAACCTGAGGCCTTAAGGCTGCAAGTTTCCCTACCCCTGCTCTAGAACCTCCAATTATTTCCAGAGTTCAGTTCTGTACTGTACTTCTCTGTGGGATATTTCTACCCATATGTACCTCAAATTCAAAAAGTCCAAAGATAAATATATCATCTTCCTGCTTAAACTTGATACTTTCCTACTTCGGTATCTCCACTGAGACCCTACTAGCCTCCCAGACTTGAAACCTCAGGTTAATTTCTGACTCTTCCCCCTCTTACTCCCATATTTAAAAAGTTGTTGAGTCATACTGATCCTCCATCCACAATATCTCTTTTATCAGTCCTTACCTCTTTACTTCTACACTAATTTGGACCCTTATCTACTCTCAGCTTGATTTCTGTCACAGTATCCCAACTGGCTCCCTTCTTCTGCCTTTCCCCTAGCCATTCTTCGCAGAGATGGCCTGTGGGATTTGTTCTGTGAAGTTTGGATTCAGTCCAAGGGCCACACTTGAGGGCCACACGTAGCCCTGAGGCCACAGGTTCCCCACCCCTGACTAGCTTCCAACCACTCCACACCACTGGAATCAAACCACTCTCTTCAAGGTTATCAACACTCTCTTAACTACAAAATTCAATGGCCTCTTCTCAGCCTTCAATCTCTATAGCTTCTTCTACCGTTGAACCTCCCTACCCACTTCATTTTTTTTTGGCAAGGCAATCAGGGTTAAGTGACTCACCCAGGGTCACACATCTAGTAAGTATCAAGTTTCTGAGGCCAGATCTGAACTCACGTCCTCCTGACTTCAGAGCTGGTGCTCTATTCACTGCACCACCTATCTGCCCCTCCTACCCACTTCTACCCCTCCACCCCAAAATCTTTTCCCTTGACTTTCATAATACTACTCTCTCTTCTTCTTGTCCTACTTGACCAACTTTTTCTTCATTCTCCTTTACTGGAGCAGCCCACTAAAGGCAGGGTCCCCCCAAGGCCTTGTCCTGGGCCCCTCTTCTCTTCTCTCTGCTACTTCCCTTGGTGGTCTCACCATCTCCCAAAGTTTCAGTCATCTCTATGTGGATGATTCTCAGATCTATATATCTCGCGCTGTAATTTTAGTCCTAAATTTAAGTCCTATATTTCCAACTTTTTGTTTGGCATTTCCACTTGGATATCCTATAATAATCTCAAACTAAACATGAAAGTGGAACTCATTGTAATTCCCCCAAAGCCATCCCTGCTCCAGATTTCCCCAGTTCTCTTGATGGCACTACCATACTTCCTGTAACCTGGGGAGTCCCACACTGTGAGTTCTCCTTCACTCTCCCCTTTTATTTTCCCCAAATATCTCATTAGTTGGTGAGTCCATCTTAGCTACCTCTGTCCTCTTTTCCTTACTCACACCGAAGCTTCCTTGGTTCAGGCTCTCACCACCTGGCACCTAGGTTACTGTTACAGTGGTTTAACTGAGCTCCTTGCTTCCCTTCCCCCACTTCTGCAATCCAAATTCCACACAGCCACCAAAACGATATTCCTAAAACACCGATTTTATCATTCCCCTTCCAACCAATCCACAGAAATCTTTAATGGCTAATTACCATTCTGCTTCAGTCACTGAAAATAAAGGTCAAAAGGAAGACGCTTTGAAATTCCTAATGTTCACTTACTTTACAATAAAGGGAGAGCACATCTCTTCCAGGATCTTCTTTTCTGAATAGATATGCTCCTGTTGCTTAGTGTCAACAATGTGTTTCTTCCTTATACACTTCATAGCAAATGCCACATTCTCATTTTTCACTTTAACCTAGGGTAGAATTGTTTTTTAATCCTTCAATGATATATTAAGAAATGGGGAAGATTGGTAATTTTGCTAAGAGAAATTGTAACCTATTTGAGATTAATTTATTCACTGAAGTTAAATTGCATATGAGATTTTGAAATTCTTAGCTCACTAAGAATTTAGTATATAAATGTTCCTCTCATTGTCTGCAAAATTAAGTTTGTATTAATCTTTGACACTGAAATTTCAATATATAAGTAAGAAATAACTCTGGCTTAATGCTTAGTCTAGAGGAGAGTAACCAAGATGCGAAGGAACTTGGAATATTACCTAGGGAACTAGAGGAAGAAAAGACTTGGGTGGGGTGGGGCATGACAGCTATTTTCCAGAAGTTGAAAGACTGTTGTGTGGAAGGATGTATATTTAGGCTCAATGTAAGGGAAAACTTCCTAACAATTAAATCTGTCCCAAGTGGAATGGTCTGCCTTGGGAAGTAATGAATTTCTACTCACTAGAGGTCTTCCAGCAAGGCTGGGTATGTTGTAAAATAGTAGGAGTTGGACTATAATGTCCATGAGGTCACTTCCAACTCGGAAATTCCATGATTTTTGAAATGTCATCTTGACCTGACTATGTGACATGAGAACTCTGAATCAAGTGACAAAAGAATTTTCTATTTCATAAGCTTAGAGATTCAAATTAAAATACTAACTCAATCTAGACAGTTATTTTCAGAATTTCCTTTTAAAGCAAAAAATTTAAATGGTTGCATGTATCTGACTGAAAGCACATGTCTGTGACAGGCTGAGAAACTCACACTTAGGCTATATGTGATGGACAAATTAGAAGCGCAGAAGAGCTGAATGCTACCAGCCAGCAACAATGGATGCTGAATCACTAACTGGGGGAAGAGATCACTTTCCGGTGGCCAAATCTGTTCTTTTTACAGTTTGGAGAAAATAACACTGCAATCGTGATAAATCACTCTAAAACCTGATATAAGGCAACATACTAAAAATAACTCTTTGAAGTAAGAAACAGAATGTTTGCCAGCTGAAGTCCTGAATCACGTGGGTGCTACTAGCAAGGGTTTCTACTAGTATTCTTCCATAATTGTTAGAAGAAAGGGTTGTAGCAGATGGCAATTGTTAGCCTAGTTCCCTCTGGACACTATTTTTTTAGAAAATAGTTCAATGGCAAAACCACTAAGGGTTTTGTCATTTTAAAGTCAAGTGTGACCTCACTAGGGTCAGAGCTCCACATTCCAGTATAACCTTAGAAAGCTTAACCTGGTCGCATCACTGCTGGGCCTTCACATAACTGTTACAAAAAGCCAAGAGGCGACGTAATTGGAGTCAACTGAAATTCGACCCTAAACTCCCTGCTTTTCCTCTTAAGATGACAAGCACTATGAGTACTCCTCAAGCAGTCTTTACAGTTACAGTACCCATCTGTACCATAAGATTTTAGATACCACAGAAACTGGGAAGAAAAGAGGGAAGGAAGGAAGGAAGGAAGGAAGGAAGGAAGGAAGGAAGGAAGGAAGGAAGGAAGGAAGGAAGGAAGGAAGGAAGGAAGGAAGGAAGGAAGGAAGGAAAGGAGGGAGGGAGGGAGGGAAAGAGGGAGGGAAGGAGGGAAGGAAGGAAAGAAAGAAAGGAAGAATGGAAGAAAGGAAGGAAAGGGGGAGGAAGGAAGGAGGAAGGAAGGAAGGAAGGAAGGAAGGAAGGAAGGAAGGAAGGAAAGGAGGGAGGGAGGGAGGGAAAGAGGGAGGGAAGGAGGGAGGGAAGGAGGGAGGGAAGGAAAGAAAGAAAGGAAGAATGGAAGGAAGGAAAGGAAGGAAAGGAGGGAGGAAGGAAGGGAGGAAGGAAGGAAGGAAGGAAGGAAGGAAGGAAGGAAGGAAGGAAGGAAGGAAGGAAGGAAGGAAGAGATGAGGGAAAGAAGGAAGGAAGGGAGGGAGGGGGAGAGAAGGAAGGAAGGGAGGGAGGAAGGAAGGAAAGAAGGAAGGAAAGAGAATGAAGGAAAAGGAAGGAAGGAGAATGAAGGAAAGGAAAGGAAGGAAAGAATATATCTATTATATGTGAGACATATATTATATATAATACATATTATATATAATAATATATAATAAGGATATGTATGTATGTCACTCCACTACAAAATAAGCTCTTTTTAAACCTAGGGCCCGTGAAATGGCCCCTAAAATCTATGTGTTCCCCTCTTTTGTGGCTTTAGGGAATTTATTTTAGATGAAAATTTATAGGTTCAATCACAATCACTCCCAGTCCACAGTTAGGAAAATTCCTAACAGTTAGGGAAGAGGCCAGGCTTTTTAACTAAGTTTACATTTATATCTATTTCTAGTTAACCCCTAGCCTCTCTGTGGTTGAAGCAAAATTCAGGTTACTGGAAATGTTTGGGTAATAAAACAGTAGATTATATTATAGTGTCTGGATAAACAGTCACTGGGAAGGAAAACTGGGGAAAGAGCAGGCTTTTTCTGGAGCCTGCCCTCAGTCCCTGAATAGGTCGGTGCCTTGGTGGCATCAGCCACAACTTTCTGCTGAGATGCCTGTGGAGCTGATGGCCCTCCTCGATCTGTCCCTTCTTTGCCACAGCTCAGTCCTCCCTTCTCTTTTCTTGTTTGGCTGGCGGCCCTGGGGCTGCTGGTTCTTGGCACTGCACTGCAGCTCCACTCCTTCCTCTCTACTTTCAGCCCTCAACATTTCGATCTGCTTCTGAAATAACTCCTTCCATTTATACAAATTGATTGGGACACGACCAAGTCTCTCATGCCACACTTTGGCTTTGGAGGACTAATTGACGAAAAGTACTCGTACCTGTGACACACTGAAGCAACTCCTTAAAGCTATCGTAGTAGTCATCAGAACAACCAAACTTCTGGCCCTGGGCTGCCCAGACCCTACCAGCATAAACGGACTGTCAGCTTTGATTTTAATGAATTCTGGTCTATTTAATCCACCGGCAGAATGTTACAAACAATAGACTGGGACTCAATGCCTATATACACGTTGACCTTTCATGCGAGTTATACAGAAACACCCAGGCTAGAGTTAAGTTGTCACAGTGAATACTATAAAAAACCTGCCCTTTCAAGTCTGAAATAGACCCAGGGAAATTTGATTCTGAGGATTTCCTGGTATCAGAGGAATGGAAGTGGTTGAAACAGAAGCTGAGAAAGAGGACAACCATGTTCTCAGTGAGTGAGTGGGATGTGTCCAAAGGGGTGACTCATAAATCTAATTCACCAACACTCAACCATTCTGGGAAAGAGCTAGAAGATTCCTTTGTCTGTGGTTAATAATCTCCAAGAACGTCTCAAGAACCTATTGGTGAATGGCATCGCCATCGCAGAATCCAGCGTCCAATATTTATCACCCATAGCAGTAGTACCAAAGAAGAATGGAAAGATACATGTGTGTTGACTGCCACACTTTGAACAAAAGAACCAGAGTGATCCGTTGTACCATGCCAAGAGTTCAAGAGGTCACGGACTGCTTATTAGGCAGCCAGTAGTTTTTGGAATGGACCAGATCCCAAAGGCAGAGGAAGACAAAGAAAACATTGCCTTCATCTGCCCAGGTGAATTTTACTAGTTTGAGCACATGCCTCAAGGCATCTTGGGGGTATTTGCTACTTTCCAAAGACTGATAGGAAAAGTAGTTAGAGACATGAACTAGCTGTAAGGACTGGTATACCTTGATGACATCACTGTCTTTTGGAAGACCATGGAAGAACGAAAACAAAGACAAATGAAAATGTTGGATTGGCTTGAGAAAAAATAACTCAAAGCTACAATAAGTAAATGATGGTTATATGAAAACAGTTGCATATGTCATCAGAGGCCTATTACCCCATTCACAAGTTGGAGTTCCTCACACTGAAATGGACAGTCTCTGAGAAATTTAGAGAGAGTAAGTATATGGAGTAAAGTGGAAGTTTTGGCCGGCAACGGACATATCCTGATGAATGCCAGGTTGGATGCTGTTTGCCAGAAAAACGAGGCAGCTCCGTCCAACTCCGAGTTCGACCTATATCAACAGCCAGGAAAGTCTACTGTAGATGTAGGTGCCTTCTCCAGAAGGCTACATGACGCCAACACTGAGGTCCCACCTGAAGAAGTCGGAATACAGATAGAGAAACAGAGCTGAAAGCTTGGGATATCCGCCAATCAGCCTGCCACAAGCCTATGTGAACTTCTCCCACTGATCTTTTCCTCTGCTATCTGTGGATGCCTGATAAAGAGATCAGATGGCCAACAAAGGATGGTGTGAGTTAGCATAAGCCTAGAAGCAAGGTGCTAAATACCAAAGGGCTCAAGTGGCAGAAGCTGGAGCTGGGCAAAACTGACCCCGATCCCCCGAGTGGTATCAAGAAGCAGTTGATGCTGCCTTGGGCATACTGCTCTAAGGTTATGGAGGCTTTATACGATGACTCTGGACATAAGGGTCCAGAAGGCACTACAGTGAGTACAAAACAGATTTTCCTAGCCCAAGATGGCCCCACACAGAACTGAGAAGCATCAGGCCTGTGACTAGTGTGTACAAAGAAAAGTATCACCAAGTGCTTCTATGTATTTAAGATTAGCACCGGCAAACATTTAGAACGTTTTAATCTCTTAATCTATCTTTAGAACTTTTATCTCTTTTTAATCTCTTTATCTCTTGCTATCACACAGACAGCAAGAACACAAATCACATACTGATGGTAACTGACCACTCCACAAGTATGCATAAACATAATGGAAAGATTCCACAGTTGCTAAAATATTGTGTGTGAGAAGTATTTTTCAGTATATGGCCTTCTGAAAGTACTCTGTTGAAAGACATTCTAGCTTTGGCTGGCATTAGGAAGTCTATGACAATGTCCACCATCCTCAAGGGGGCTTTCCTAGTACTTGCATACAACGTCGGAAATGAAGACACTTGCTTTACTCTCTCTGTGTTGGTATTAGGGCATGGGGCATGCCTACTCATCGATTTGTGTTTTGGAATCTCTGAAAGTAGAGAAACTGTAGACACTCACATCTCTCAACCAAGATAAAAACTGAAAGAAGTTTACCACCTGGCTACAACTTCAGTCTGAAAGAAAGCTAAAAGAAATAAACAACAATACAATGCTTAAGTTCAATATCAATACCTTCGATGAGGTGACAGCATTCTGCTGAGAAATTGTGATGTCCATAGAACATAGAAGTTAGCAGATCTATGGAAAGTACTCTCTACTTAGTAGTGGAAAGAAGGGATGCCTTGCTTCTTTTCAAAACCATTCTAGAAGCTGGTGGGGGCATTTCTAAGACAATCCACCACAATCACTGATGACCAATAGGTGAGTTAGACTCCCTGACGAGCAAGTTGAGACTAATAAACATTTATCTCAGGGGATTCTAAGACCAAGAGACCATCTTTCAGTCATACAGTCTACCTGACCCAGACAGTAGCTCAGAAACAGACATTTCAAGGAAAGAAGGTTTTGGATTCTATGCCTCAAAAATCATTTAGCAATGCTAGGTAGTCTGGACCCCCCTACTCTATGGTCTAAGAAGGAGAGCTATAGTTCTGATGAGGAGATAGAGTGATAGCACATATATATATGTGTGTGTGTGTGTGTATATATATATACATATATATATATTCACTTATTTGTATATTCATGTAATATGATATGTATGTATGAAATGCTTATGAAATATAAATGAAATCCTTAGAGTTCCAAGTTGAGCCCTCTTAGGCCCTCTATAGAATACTCTTTTTTTCTTACTGAAATAAGTCTTTAAGTTGAAATACTATATCTACATTGATATCTTGCAGTCCTCTTTGGATGTTCCACTAATTCACATTAAATATTACAAAAGGATGTGCTGCTATGGGAAGCTTTGAGCAACAATTGGACTAGCAACATTCACCTTGTAGTGTAGATTTGCAAGTGTGCAACATTCATCTAAATTCTATTGTTCCCTTTCAATATAGTGCAATGCGATATATCATGGAAATCTACCTGATGATTGAGGTCCTGTAAAGTACTAGGGGTGGGAGGGAAACTCATTTTAGGAACCTGGGCACATTAAAAATTAAAATCAAAATTTTCTCTTGGATGTTTGAAACGTAAACCCCTTACAAGTTCAACTCTTCCGAACCCACCGACGCCCAGTGTGGTGACAATCTCAAGGTTCTGGAATGGGGACGAGGAGGAGAATTTGGCCACCTTCTCCTTCAGCTGAATCATCTCTAGAGACAGAGCTTTGGCCTGCCTCCAGCCAGACATGGATCTCCTATAGGGAAAAAGTAAAATTATGAATTATTCTTCCTGGCTAGCCAAGGATAATATTATATGTGAAGGCCCATCTTAACTTCACCTAGCGGTTAACTGCCTACAGCGTCTGCAAAGATAATCTCATTTTTGACACTAGATCAAGTGGGGGGGGGGAATTTCTAAAAACACCAAGAAGCAGCCAAGTATGCCTTTAAGAGCCAGTAATTTTAAAAGTGTAATCAGAAACAGATTTCTTCTGTTTCATTAGAATATCACACTGCAAAACTTCCCAAGGCAACCTGGGATTTTTGTAAAATCTTAACACTTTCTATGGATAATTATGCTCATTGCTATGTGAACCATTAAAAATCAAATGTCCAGTTTGTTTCCAAATATTGCCGTTCTCAAACAGTTATTCATCTTTTCCGATTAGCGTTTGTTGCCGTGGGTTGGACGCCAATGAGCTGTCGGTACTAGCATTGTACAACAGGATGCAAATTGCCATTATCTCCCTTACAAAAATGTGTGGGAATCTGACTGAATGTTCTCATTCTAATTCAGGTCTTCAATTTTCTGTTAGTTGTGGCTGTGCGATTTAGAAGAAATTAACTAGAGCATGTAGGCCTGGGCATTTATTAACATTAATAGGTTCTGTCTGCTTCTGAAAAACATTTCCGGAAAACATTTGTCTCAAAATGTCCTCAAGTAAGCTCAAAAGAATTTTCCATTAAAGAGAAAAGTTTCTTGATTCCTCATCAAAGAGGTGCGATGGTGTGGCTCCCATTCTGTGATATTTTAAAGACTTGTTCAAGCCCAGACAGTGCAGAGCATGGGAAGAAAATGCCTTTAATGAAACAATGAATCCGACTGGATTCAGTCAAAAGGCCACACTTAAGATCTAGAAGGCCACATGTGGCCTCATGGCCACACGTTCCCCACCCCTGATGTAGAAGGTAGTGTCTGAGCTGAGTCTTGTGGGAATCCAAGGATTTCTAGGTGAGAGAGAGAACACAGATGTGAGAAATGTCAGGTGTGCAGAGCAACAGGTATGCCAGGAAGGCAGGATTAGAGTATGTTGAAGGGAGAAATGTATAAGAATCCTAGGAAGGCAGAAAGGGGCTAGGTGGTGAAGAGACTTATATCCCAAACAGAGGGGATTATGTTTCATCCTAGGAATACTAGGGGGCCACAAGTATCTCCTGAGGGGAGTGGGTGGGTGACACATTTAGATCTGGGCTTTCTCTTGGTGGCTGTATGGAGAAGGGTTCAGAGCATGGCAGGGAATCCAAAAAGAAAGTTATTCCAGTATTCAGTGAGAGATGAAAAGGGTTTGAACCATGAAGAGAAGAGGACATATATGAGAGACACTGGAGAGATAGGAGTATCTTTAGGCATATCATCAGAAGCCAAAAATATGATATATGATATCCCATCCCTCACAAGGACAGAACAAACAAGGCCAAAGGTAAGTTAGAATCTTATCCATTCAACTTTGACCATGCAGATAGCCACTTCCCAAAATAAAATCTTGAATTATCAAATTTCTGGTCATTCTGTCCACCTCTACCAAGAGGTGGTACTTTTATACATGAAAATCTGCCCATTGAGTCAGATTATAGTTTACGTGTGACAGATAATTGCTTGTCAATATATCACAGAAGCTATTTTTTTCCTCCTAACTAGGGCCAATGGATGCCTATTTGGTTTCAAGCAACACGCAGAACAATTCTTTAAAAAGAGGCTGCCTTTGGGGGGCTCCTTGGGTTCTTCGGAATTATTAAAACAATACGCTAACTCCACGAAGCAGCTGGTATTCAGAACAAGTTCTGTGCTGTTCTCCCCCATCCTCCATTCTTAGGTATGATGAAATGGGTACAAGAAGCCTACTTTCCCCCAACGACAAAGAAGAGAATACAGAACTAATACTCTCCTGAGAGGAATGATATTTTTTGTGGTACAGATGGCACAAACATGAGAGAAAACTCCATTCTGCCCCATGAGAACATAAGCCCTTGAGAGCAGGATGGCTTCATCCTTTTGTCTCACAACCACCTACCACAATGCCTGGCTCATAGGGACTTAATTAATGAATAAATGTTTGTTGATTGATTCTTAGACATTCTCACTCCTAGATTTCATACTGGTAGAGTAGACAAGATGGCAGTCCAAGGAAACAACTTATTCTTAGGACTTTCTCTCTCTCTTTTTTCTTTTCTTTTCTTTTTTTTCTTTTTGGTGAGGTAATGAGGATTAAGTGACTTGCCCAGAGTCACACAGCTAATGTCAACTGTCAAACGTCTGAGGCCAGATTTGAACTCACGTCCTCCTGACTCCAGAGTGGCTGCTCTATCCACTGCACCACCTGGCTGCCCCTCTTAGGGACCTTCTTAACAGAAACATCTCCTTCACACTTGCTGCATCATCAAAAAAAAGGCAAGTGTGGTGTCGACCACACTGGGAATTTGGCAATCATCTTCTGAATCTATTTGGATTTTCTTTCCTATTTCTCCTCTGCTACTTCCTGGCTAAAGAGACATCCAGGGGCCTCTCTGGGGATCAGAAGCCTCTTCTTGCCCCCGCAGCAACCCTGATTGGCTGGATGGTTTTTCCTTCTTTGCCAGAACATGATGTCTACTCTGGGTAAAACTTCTCACACTTACTTGGCATGCCTTTTTTCATCATCACGGTTCAGGTTCGCCACATAGCCCTCAAGGTACTTTTGGAGTTCTTCAAAGGTCCCAACTGTTTGACTGAATGTTCTGAAAAGGAAAATGCGGACAGTCACCATTCTCCCTATACCAATTATATTATAGTTATTTTTTAAAGTTAAGTTGCAGAGCATTAATTTTGTTTTTTCTTTTAGCAGTGGTTCTGGGCCTTTCATTTCATTGGTATAGGAAGATCCTGGTGTGGAAGATCCCTTCAACTATGCACCTGTTCATATCGTCTGTAATTATAAAGTCTTGTAGATCATCTGAGGTTCAAGTACTTGTCCAGGCCCACACAGCTGGTGCAAAACCAGGACCTCCTGATGCTAACAACGGTTTACTGTGCTACAAAGCCTCACACAGAATACTAACAAAATTATAGGGGATATCCCCAAACCATGCCACTAAAGCTTAAAACTGCACTAAGACTCTTGGAGCACCCCATAGAATCAGTTCTCTGAGTTCAGGAAAGTAATTGGGATTATTGGTGAGAGGGTAAAATGCCTTCTGGATTTTTCCACTGAAGTCCAGAAGAAATGCAGTGGAACTGATCATTCCTGCCAACAAGCCTACATTATAACCTGTTTACTGGACATTTTGATTGCAGAGTGCAATGACATTAAGTGCAGCTAACTGAGGCTTCTGTCCACTGAAAACTGAGGATGACATATTCTTCTCCCCAGAATGCTATTCTTCTCTTCACCTTTCTTCTTGTCCTTATTTCTGCCAATGCTCCAAGAAGCCTTGATTTCATCTCATTCATTCATGATGAATCCAAATGAAGTTTGGAGATTGACCGAAGATTCAGTCAAAGCATCACACTTGAGGACCTAGAGGGCCACAGGTGGCCTCAAGGCTGCAGGTTCCCCACCCCTGTGACATAACCTATTGCTGTGGATGTACCCTGAGATTCTGTCCTGCATTCTCTCTTTCTTCTGCTCCCTCTCTCTCTCTCTCTCTCTCTCTCTCTCTCTCTCTCTCTCTCTCTCTCTCTCAGTAATTTCATGAGCCCAAGTTTAATTATGATCTCTATGCAAGTGACTCACTCATCTTTTTATCCAGGCCCACTCATACCCCTGAGCTTCAGTCCTGCAACAATCAGCCATTTGGAACTGGAGAACTGACTGGTAGATGAGGGATGGATCAGTATTTTTAAGGGGTGATGGCAGGGGAAGAATTTCCCCTTCGAAAAAGATAAGAGCAGGGGTTCCTCGAGCAGAGACAGCCTTTCTCTACCCACAGCAGAGTACTCACTCTCGGTCAATAACCAAGCAGGCCACGTCATTTTCTTCTGCAATGATGTTAGCTGATCTGACGTCATCACTGTTCAGGAAAATAAAAAGACATGGCTCACTTCTGCTAAGAAATGAGATATACCTATGACAAATGCACCAACCAATGTCCTCTAAGTAATAATATCTCTGTTATATCACTTTCAATCAATAAATGGCAAGAAATACTGATTGATTACTTGGTATTACAAGTACCAGGTAAGAGAATTTCACTGAGCGTCTAGTTCTGTCTGCAGTGTTCTTCATTCATGTCTCTTCTCTTTTTCGGGTACTAGTAGCCTCCACTATGAGGTTTCAATAACATAATATAATAATCATAACATCTATATCCATATTTCTGATTCTTATCTATGTATCTATCCATCTATCCATCCACCCACCTGTCTATCTACCTCCCTACCCTCCTATGTATTCTATCTACATTTGGTCTAGCTTTGTGATTTTATTGGTACAAGGAACTCCCAGTGTGGAAATGCCTGAAACAATGCAGATAGGCAATTAATCTATAACTGATAGTCTGAGAAAGATGCCTTTAATACTGAGAGTCCAGGTGACTCATGGTCCCAAAGTGAGTAAGTATTAGATAAAGGAAATGAACCCAGGTCTTTCTGATTCCCTCTTGACTGTGCCATACCACCTCCAGTAAAGCTGCCCAAATAATAAAGATATTGACACTACATGCACTAATGTAAACACAAATACATGGGGGTTCACCAGTCTTGAGATTCATCTAAGGTGACGCCCAGAAAAGCACAGGGTGGACTGATGACTCCATGATCTCTAGGAAAGTGGAATTATTTCACACTTCTCCAAACAATGCAGCCTGTATCTCCTTGAGCCCTTTCTCCATCATCACTAGGAAGCCTTGTATAGAAGTGATAACATCTCTTGTTTTTTTCATACTCATTAGAAGCCTGCTTTAAAAAAACAGCAAGAAACTTCAAAGCCTTTCTTGGCAATAAGGAGAGTAGCCCATCCACAACTGATGCACAGTAATTTGCAGGGATACTGACTTCAGAATTAGATTGTGGGTCATGTATCTGACATGTAAATTTCTATCATAAGACAGAGCCAGTCATCCAAGTTCTGATGAGAGAACAATACTTTGAATGAAATCTTGAAGGCTTATAAAGTTTGTTTTTGAAATCATTATGTGAGCCCTAAGGATTTCTTTTCAACAGATTCTAAAAGCACCCTGGGGTTAGTTTGTGTCGAACCTTAGAAATACAAAGAAAGCCATTCTGACATGTGGAACGACAGTGTCTCTGTGCAGTCACAGAACAAACAAAACAAATAGGGCTTTCTGCCATTTTCTTTCTCTCTGACTTCAGCTCTGTAAGGCTGAAATGGCTTTAGGGGTTGTTTGGCCATTACGAGGCCATTACAAACCATATTCTTCACTAGAATAACTAAAATCAAACTGGCTGAAATATATGACAAATTTCCTTTTCAAACATCCAAAGCAAAAGATATATTCCTTTTTCAGGGAGCAGTTTTAAAATCACAGCATCTTCATAAAGTCCTTAGATAATTCAAACTTTGGTACCTTGATTCACAGGCTTTATAGGAAAAAATATTTTAAGCACGACTGAAATTAAATCTGCTTAAGTTCAGGACAACTCATTACGCAATTGTATATGTTCAGTACAATCAAACGGGCTTCTTCCTGTTTCTCACAGACATTTCTGTGCCTTTGCAGACTGCCTCCCATGACCAGAGTGTATCTTCTTCTCTTCTCTACTGCCGGGGATCTCTACGTTCCTTCACAACTCAGCTCAGGCACCGCTTCCCATGTGAGACCTTCTCTCAACCTCTTCCCCCAAACTGCTTCTCTCTCCACAAATTATCTGGTATTCATTTTTATGTATTAATATTTACCTGTCTCTCCATCTGACTGTCTGTAGGTACATATGTATTGTCTCTAAGAGACTATAAGCTCCTTGAGGGAAGAAACAATTTCATTTTTGTCTCTCAGCACCTATCACAAAGCCTGGCACAAAGTAAGCAATTAATATATGCTCACAGACAGATTCATTGGTTGATGAATAATGTATTCTTATTTCAGATCCCATGGCAAATGAAAAATAGGTAGCATGAATTCAAAGTTAAATTGCATTCTCTAACAGATTTGAAATACATATAGCCTTAAGGAAAAATTTCAGTTTACTTTTAGCTTTTAACACACTTTTTCAGATTGTTTTAATACTATCAACAACCTAAATTATCAAAGATTAAAAGGTAAAAGTTGTCAGTTGGTAAAAAGTTTTTTGCAACAAATATCTCTGATAAGGGTATGATATGTAAGATACATAGGCAGCTAAGAGAACTATATATGACCAAAAGCCATTCTCTAACAGACATATGGTCAATGATTATGAAAAGAGTTGAGCAGGGCCATATAACCGTTAAGTGTCAAAGGAAGCATACGTAGGAGTTTAGAGGTAGAAAAGAATTTCTCAGTCTCTCCTCATAGAACACATCTTTATATTCATTTAGTCATTTGCCCCTTTCATCTCCTGTACAAAACCAGATCACTCTAAGATCAAGCCAATTAAAAAATGTTTAACATGTAATTTAAATTTGTAATATTTACTGGTTTGGTTAACCAGAAACAAAAATTTTGCATAAGTTAGATTGGTTCAATTTATACAATAGAATTGGATATAGGAAATACATTTAAGAAATAACAAGTGTATTGGATAGCAGAAAACTTCATGACCAAACAAGAGACAGAGAGGATCACAGAAGATAAAATGGTTAATTTTGATTACAAAAAATTTAAAAGTGTTTTGTACAATCAAATCCAAGAAAGTTACTATTAAAAGGAAAACAATTAACTAGGGAAATTTTTGCAGGAAGTTTCTCTAATAAAGGTATCATTTCCTATATCTTTATCTATCTATCTATCTATCTATCTATCTATCTATTTATCTATCTATCTATCTATCTATCTATCTATCTATCTATATATATATATATATATATGGAATTGATACAAATTTATAAGAATAAGATCTATTCCCTGCTTGATAAATGGTCTAAGGAGAGGAATAAGCAATTCTCAAGAGAAGAAACCCAGGCTATCTATAATCTATAATCATATAACTATATGAAAAATACTCTTAATAATTAGATAAATGTAAATTAAAGCAATTATGAGATTCTGCCTTACAACCACCAGAATGGCAAGAATGACCAAAAAATCAAATAACAAATATTAGAAGGACTCTGGGGAAACAGGCACATTGATGTCGTATTGGTAGAGATATGAATGGGTCTAACCCTTCTGGAAAGCAATTTTAAATTATACACAAAAAGTTACTAAACAGTACATGCCCCCTTGACCAGCTACATCACTGCTAGGACTGTATGCCAAAGGAAGAGGAACTGGTCATATATGTACAAAAATATTGTGGCACCTCTTTTTGTGGTGGCAGGAGATTGGACACCAAGAGAATGTCTATCAATTAAGAAAAGGTTGAACAAATTGTAATACATGGACCCAATGGGATACAATTGTGCAGTAAGAAATTAGGAAATAGATGATTTCAAAGAGACATGGAAAGAGTTGTATAAGCTAATGCAGAATAAAATAAGCAGAATCAGGAGGATAATTTATACAATAACAACAATACTCTAAAAATAAACAATTTTGGAGACTTGTATAAACTGATGAAAAATGAAATGAGCAGAATTATGAAAACAACTTATACAGTAACAACACTAAAAGCAGATCAGTTTGAAAGACTGAAGAATTTTGATCAATGCAATAATTAGCCATGTAAGAGAGGTAATAAATTCAGGCTGCAGAATGTGATAGAGAGAGAGAGACAGAGAGAGACAGAGAGAGAGAGAGAGTGAGAGAGAAAGAGAGAGAGAGAGAGAGAGAGAGAGAGAGAGAGAGAGAGAGAGATAAACAGACATATGTCTATATATTAATTTATAATACTCATACACAATACATAATTATACATACATTTGCTTGACTATGCATGTTTGTAATGAGGATTTTGTTTTTCTTTTTCAATTGAGGTGGAGTATGAAGGAGAAGTAAATTTCTGTTAAATAAAAAATATAGCTTAATTTTTAAAAAGAAATATGTAAACATTATTCCCAAACGGTGCACTAACCTGATGAGAGCCTTTTCTCCAAAGTAATCACCTTTTTGCAGTGTTTTAATCAGCTGAGGTTGATCGTAGCCTTCGGTGCTCTGAGTGACTCTCACCTGGGCAACAACAAAACAGAAGTTCACTAAACTCATGTTTTCATTATTCGGTTCTCCACAAAAGAGGTAGGCATGCTGAGCACACAGTAGGTATTCAATAAACGTTCTTTGAAGTCATTTACAAATCGTGATGACAGCTCTACTGTGGCATAAGACTACATTCAAGTCACCAAGTATTTGTTAAACACGATGATAGGAAATACAAAAAAGAGAATTCACCACAAACAGGCTCAGGAATGTATATAAAAATGACAATTTCTTCCTCCAGTCTCTTACCAGGTGCTGGTGAATATACATAATAACAATGGGAATTCTAGATGTTTATCTTCTAACAACAAACATAGGAAGGGCCGTTTTGGTTCCTACAGAATTTTCATGCGTATCTAAATCTTAACTTTAGATATACACATAATAGCGACAAACATATTAAAAGGCTATTTCTTTATTCATTCAAAATTGTATTACTGGAGGAGTGGAAGGCCAAGATCAGAAATGTAATTTATAAATCTATTCAGTAACTTAAGCAAAACCTTCTCATATGGTTGACTGGAAAGGTTTCCCAATAATGAGACAGTAAGGGAGAGGTTTCTTAATACACCTTGCCTCTTGTCTCACATCCAGAATTGTGGACAAGAGCTAGCTGCAAATGGCCATTAAAGCTTAACTGCAAAAAGTCATGCCATTTGATCTCGTCTCTAGCTAAATCTATAGAATCTTGACAACAATATTGACTCTTTTTGGCTGAAAAATGCATCTCAATACTAAGCTGAGCCTTCTTTTTTGTTTTTTTTTTTTCTTTTGGCTAGGCAATGGGGTTAAGTGACTTGCCCACGGTCACACAGCTAGTAAGCTGAGTCTTCTGATAATGTATATTGAAACCATGTCAATTAGCTCAAGAATTTTTTTTAAAGTGTATTAAAAATGACACACATCTCTTTTCACCCCTTCCAGATAATTAAATAAGAATGATCACCCTGATTTATTCGCTTTCGATATAGGGCCACCAGAAGTTGTTAGACTCTAGGGTAGATCAGAATTGATCCAGAATATCCCACACAACCAGGTCAATGAAATATCAATCTTTCTGGAGTCCTATAGCACAAGTCCCAGGGTTTTTTTTGTTGTTGTTTGTTTGTTTTTCACTCCCCTAGGATTCTCAGGGTTAATTGCCCCATCTCTGGGGAGATGAGACACATGTCATGACAGAACCTTCCTAGGCACTAAATGGAGGCCATTGAGAGGTAATCTGGCCATTGATAAAGGCAATCGGTGATGGTAAAAAACCCTGAACCCCATGTAAGATTGGCTGAAAGGATGGAGGACGTTTACTAAGGAGATGAGGACAGGAGATGGGGTTAGAGGGACAAGATAAGGTCATCCTCTTCAACAATATAAAGGGCTATGGTGTAGAAGAGAGATAAATGTGTTGTGTTTGACCCCAGAGGGCATAAACAGGAACAACAGATGAATATCACAAAGGTCAAGTATAGGCTTAATATCAGGAAAAATTCTGAAACAATTAGACCTGTCCAGATGTTAGAGGAGATGCCTCAGAAGCTGGTGCATTTCTCCTCATTGGAGGCCTTCAAGCAGAAAATGGATGGCCACTTGTCTAGGATGTTGTAAGGAGGATTCTTTTTCTGGTATGGGTACGATGAGATAACTGAGGTCCCTTCCAATTCTAAATTTCATGATTTAATGTTGTCCCACAAGCTATTGGGCCTTGTTCTAGTCGAGGTTCCATGCCTGATGTAATGGCTTAGATCCTGAGAATTTCGATAAACAATACCCTTAATTTAAAAAATCCAACAGTCCCCCAGCAAAAGGTATTACACAAAGTGACAAAAAGCAAAAATCCAGAAGATGAAAGCAGGTAAAAGTTGCCAGCAAGGAAATTAAAAGCAGTAAGTAAGAAAGTCACCTCAGGAGCCCCATCACCAAAGTCTTAAAAATCTTCCTTGACCAAATGGCCTCTAGAGGCAAAGTTAAACTCCAGCTATACCAGGTCTTCTCCAGTGTCTTGACTCACAACATTCCCCAATCAATACAGTGGGAGTGTGGAAGCTAATTCAAGGTCCCTAGGTAACTTTTTTTTGCATGAAATGAGACAAGGATATACTTTATTTATATGGATTTACAATTAGTTTAAATGTGTTAATTTTCAGTGAGAGAGTGTGCTTGGACTGAAATCCTATTTTCCTTAAATTTCTAATTCATTATATTATCATAGCTTTTCTTCAACATGAATTCTATAATGTCTACTCTCAAAGAGGATCTTCACAATTTCACTTCAGTCATAGTTATTTCTTTTATGAATCTACTGCTAATGATTAAGCAACTTATCATCTAGGAAAGCCTACCATCAGTTTTCTGTCCAGTGTGAATTACCTGAGGTTTTATAGGCTGTTCTTCCTTTTCCAGGAAAAGCATAACAATATTTACTTCATTTATATGATTTCATTCTGGTATGAATTACCTACGATTCCCTAAGTACTGTGCTCCATCAGAAGGCCTTCCCATGTTCATTGCATTCATAAAGTTTCTCTCCAGTGTAAATTCTCTGATGTTGAGTAAAATCTGAGCTCTACTTGACAGCTTTTCCATATTCATTACATTCCTAACGTATCTCTTCTAAATCACACTTCTGGTGTTCAATGTCTTGTTTTCCAGCTATTCTTATATTCATTATATACAAAATGTTTCTTTCCAGTATGAACTCTCTGATGTGCAACAAAGTATGCTCTTTGTTGGAAAGTCTCTCCACATTCATTACACCTATATGGTCTTTCTCCAGTGTGAATTCTCTAATAATCATAAAGTCTCGTCTTCCAGCTGAAGGCCTTCTCATATTCATTGCATTCATACAGTTACTCTCCAGTATGAGTTCTCTGATGCTGAATAAGTCTTGTCTTCTGGCAGAAGCCTTCCATATTTATTACATTCATAAGGTTTCTCTCCAGTATGAATTCTCTGGTGATCAGCAAATATTGTCTTCTGCTGAAGACCTTCTCACATTCATGACATTTATAGGGTTTTTCTCCAATATGAATTCTCTGATGTTCAACAAGCTATTTTCTGGCAGAAGGTCTTCCCACATCTGTTACATTGAAAGGGCTTCTTCTCCAGTATGAATTCTCCAAGGTTGAGTAAAGTTTCTCTTCCAAAGGAAGGCCTTCCCACATTCACTACATTCATTAAGTTTTTCTCCTGTATGAAGTTTCTGATGTTCAACAAAGTGTTTTTTTCTAGAGGAAGACCTTACCACATTTATTACCTTCAGGACCACAGTCCTACATAGATCTCAAGTATAAAGATAAGGTTTTCTTTCTTCATTGTGTTATTGGATGGAGACAAAGAAAATGTCAAGTCAGTGTTCCTCACTCCCAATCCAATCTTCATATTTTCTTATATTTAGATCTGGTTTTATCCTTCTTATGCTTAAAAAAATAAACTTCAGGTTCTCCTTGTTGTCATCATGTAAATTTTAAGTTTTCTGCTTGACGTTCAAGGCCTTGCATAATCAGGGGTCTTCCAGCCTTTTTAGTCTAATCTGATATTATTCCTACAATGTGCTCGGAGTTCTAGCCAAACAAGCTCACTCTGTCACCTAAATGTGCCAGGCTTTCACTTCCCCAGGTCCAGGCCTTGACTCACACTATTTCCTATGTCTAGAATGGTCTTCCTACGCTCTTCACCCATGGAATTCCCTTCTATCCTTTAAAACCCAACTCATACTTTACCTTCTCCATAAGACTGATGAATTCTCCTGGTAATAAAGACCTACCCCCCCCCCAACCTCACCTAACACTTTGCTTCTATCTTCATAGTGCACTTAATAAATGTAATTTTATATCAGAATTTTCTGTGTTTGTGTCTACCTCCCTATTTGACTGTAAATGCTATGAAGTCAATGGCTATGTCTGACCTAAACCTTGTACGTGCCCAAACACCCTGCACAGTGCCCTGTATACATTAGGCCCTTAGTACATGTTTGCTAAAATTGCAGTTACCGGCTGTTAGAGGGATATTACAGTGGAATGGGCTCTGGATTTGGAGTCAGAGGCCTTGTATTGGAACCCTAACTCCAATTTACTACCTAGATAATCTTTCCTATGTCACTAAATTTCTCTGGATGGAGATCTGCGCCCCATCATCTTCAAAAAGAGGTTGGACTTATGGATCCTTTAAGATCCTTTCTACCTCTCAACCCATGACTCTACCCACAAGGTATACCTGGAGCCAAAATGCTTTGTCATCACTATGAAATTGCTTACGTTAGGTGATGACATCATCTGTATGTCTAGACCGAGATTTGGTTACAACTGAGGCGTAGCTCAATTCACTATGATGACATCACTACACCTATATAAATGCATGGAGAACTTAGGTTCACTTTGACTGTCTGAACATCGTCAAATCCCCCAATCACCTCAAATAGGGCTGCCTCTCTTTTCTCCCCGACTATTTGTCTCTCCAACAAACTGCATATTTACATTTCTCTTCGTGTTAATCATTTCCCTTCTCTGGAGTCATAGTTAAAGAACAAATGACAATTATTGAGATGGTAAAAGACTACAAAGAAGAGTAATAGGCTGGTAAAATAGAGAACTAGGTGCTCAATGTTTTACCATGTCCAAATATATATAATTATATGTACAAACATATTATATATTATTATATAATAATATAATATAAAATATAATATAAACTATAATATAATTATATGTATAAACATATTATATATTATTATATAATAATATAATATAAAATATTATATTATACAAAATATAATACAATTATATGTATAAACATATTATATATAATATATATATGGGAGAAGAGGGGGGCAGTAACCCTACTATACACATATTGAGGTGTAAGTTGAACTGGAATATGGGTCAATCTGAACTTTTCAGTTAAAAGAAAAAATTCTCAAGTTTTAACTTTTATTTATTATTTTTGTTATTTATTTTTATTAAATATTATTTAAACATTTAAATATTAAATATTCAATTTTAATTAAATCAATTAAATAATATTTAAATATTAAATATTATTTTATTTATTCTTTATTAATGAAGATCAACTTTCATCATATAACTTTTTTCAGCAGCCACAACAATTTGGCAGAGAAGCTCCCCTGCTGCTAATATGGAATCATGTATTTAGAGCTCAAAGTGGTCTTAAAGGGTTGACAGGTCTAATTTCCTTATTCTAAATGGTCGCATTCCTGCTCCCATCCCCAGGATACTCCTTCAATTTGTGGTTGCAGTGGCAGGCTGGGTTCCCTTGGGTTCTAGGGGCAACCCTATGGATCTATACTTCTGACATAGTTCATCAATTCCCCTAAGTGTGATTCCCATTAATGATCAACCAGTACTAGCTCTTAGCAAAGACTAAGGTGGCAGAGTAATAAATAATAGCTACAAAACATTACTTCCATAAAGCTAGGGCATTCTCCCACAAATACACACAGGATACTCAGGAAATATGAGCTCACACTTACAGGGCACATGTGTAGGATACATGTGCATCAATGGCAACGAACAACTCCTTGTATTACAGGACCTGGAAGACCTTTCTTTACAGAGCCCTGCTGCTCTTCTCTCTTCTCTCCCCTCTTAGATGTAACATCTTTGCGGGGCAGCTCGCTTAATTGGTTTCCCATGGTCAGCTACTCTCTTTATCCAGCTCTCCTCTTGTTTTCCAGGGGTCCTGTTTCTCAAAGCAGCTTTCTGCCCTAAATGATTGCCTTTCTATATCTATCTGAAGTATGCATCTCCGAGGTTCCCTCAAATGACCCTCAAACTCTCTCAAACCAACATTTTTTAAAAATTTTAAATTTTTTTAAAAAAGAGAATTTTTAAAGACAGAAAAAAAGAGGATTCTATTTGGAAACTGCGAAGCTCCATTTCATACAGTACGCTTTAAAAAAATATATGTAAGTTTTACGTGTTACTTTCAACACTGTCCCCTCATCTTCACTTCTTCAGAACTTCTCTGTTCTCTTCTGCACATTTTTATTAAAAAAAAGGTCAATGACCTCTCTTTTTTGGCATCATCATTACTGTTGTTAGCCCCCTCTCTACTCCTTATCCCCTCCCCCCTCCCCATTATCCCAGAGAAAGAAAAAAGAGGGAGGGGGAATCTTTGTCACAAATAAGCTTAGTCAAGCAGAACAAATCTACACAACAGCCATGCCACAAAAAGGTGTCTCTGCACCCTGTGTCCATCACCTCCCTGTGAGGAGGTAGGTAACATACTCCATCATACAGCCTCTGGAATCAGGGCTGCACATGGCTTTGATCAGATTTATTAAGTCTTTTAAATCAGTTTTTTCTTTACGATGTTGTTGCCTTACACACACTCAACTGGGTATGGAAATCTATCTTATCCTACAGGAAAATAGGGGGGAAAGGGGAGAAGGGAGCAGGGAGATGATAGAAGGGAGGGCAGATTGGGGGAGGCGGGTAATCAGAAGCAAACACTTCTGAGGAGGGACAGGGTCAAAAGAGAAAACAGTATAAATGGGGGGTGGGGTAGGATGAAGGGAAATATACTTAGTTTTTCACATGACTACTATGAAAGTGTTTTGCAAGGCTGAACTTCTAAAAAAATAACAATACAACGTTGTTGCCTTGTTTAAATTATTCTCCTGCTTCTGCTCTCTTCCCTGTGTTAGTTCAGACTATTCAGCATTCTCCAAAATTGTGCCTTTCATCATTTTTTACAACACAATAATATTCAGTTACATTATTAGACTCCGAATTGTTCAGCCTTTCACCAATAATCTAAGAGACTTTCTTTTTTCCTTCTCCTCTTTTAAGTCCCCCTTCAGGTTCAAGACCCTCCCTTAGATTTCAGCTTTTCCCTTCCCAACCCCTTTCAATCTCCCTTAAGGAGCAGGAAACCCTGTTTTGCTTTTTCATTACACATCCCCTCCCTATTCCTGTTTGTTTCTCTGTTGAGTTTCCACACCCAGAGTCATGTGTATTTAACCCTCCTTTGTCTACTTCAGACAAGAATGAGGTTCATCTGATGCCCACCCCTTTCTCCTTGTTTGTATATGATTCTTCTCACCATGTTTATACATGTTTCTTCTCACACATCCTAGTTATGAGAAGCAGCCAGTTCCACCCTTTTTCTACACTGGGGTGTTCCTCCTTTTACCCTACCTGCTCTTTCTCTTCTTAAAACCCTCAGAACGAATTAATGCATCCCCAGTACCTCGGTTTTTCTTTTTTAACTCCCTCATTACCTTTTGAAGACACTGAGATCCTCACTGGGGGAAAAGATCATCATACAGTTGGGGGAATTATCACATCATATCGATGTTATCATACATTGTGGAAGAATTATCCTTCTAATTCCTTCTAATTGTTCAAATACACTTTTCTAGGTGTCCCTGGACTCTTGTATTTGCATTTTAAAGCCCCTACTCAGCATTAGTCTTTTCATCAGAAATGCTCTGGAGTCATCTATTCTATTAAAGCTATATTTTTTCCCCTGTTGTATTTTACTCAGCTTTGCAGGGTAAGTTATTATGGGTTGTAAGCCTATTCTTTTTTTTTTTTTTTTTGGTCTTCTGTATTTCAGGATTTCCCCTGGATTTTTAATAGAAGCTGCCAGGACTTAGTGACCCTGATCCCAACTGTGGTCCCTTGGTACTTGAACTGCTGATGCTGGAAGTACTTTTTTCTTTTGATATGGGAGCTCTGGATTTTGATTTTGATATTCAGGAGATAATCAGATAATTCTTTTTATCTTGGCTTTCTGGTCCTAGTAGATCTGGGAAATTTAGATGTATGATTTCTTGAAGTAGAGTATCCAGGCTTTTTTTTATCATGGTTTTCAGGGAATTCAGTGATTTTTAAAATTCTTTCCTTGACTCATTTCCAGGTCAATTATTTTTTATATCTTATATTTTTTTCTATTTTTTTGAAATCTTTAAATTTGGTTATATAATTTTTTTCTGTTTCATGAAGTCATTGATTTTTTTTTATATATTCCAGTTTTCAGGGATTCTATTTCTTAGATAAAGTTTCACTTTTTCTTCTAATCTACTTAGTCTCCCTCTAATTTTTTCCTCCAAAACTTTTATTTTTTTATCTCTTCCTTAATTTCTTCTTCTAGGCATTCATGTAGTCCTTATGGAAAATCTAGTTTTTCCCTTTCAGTTTCCATTCATAATTTTTAACTGAGTTAGATTTGCAACATTTTTTCCATGCTAGTCAGTGTTTTTCTTTGATTTACTCACCTTTCCAAATGTAGTCCCTAATTTGGGCCTCTATCTCAGGAAAAGGCTCTGATCCTTGCTGTGCAAAATTCTGGGTGGGACAGTGAGTCCAGTGTGATCTCACCATGGGTCCCCCAAGTTCTTGTGCTGACCTTCAGGGTTAGACCACCCCCCCACCAAATCTCTGATATTCACGGTGCTGGATCTTCAGGGCCCTCTCTGGTGTCTTGGGACAGAGTACTAAGAACCTCACAGCCCCTAGGCCTAGGTAGTTCCAGTCAGGGTCACTCCCCAGGGTTTCCAAGGTGTCTACCCTGGAACTTTCAGATAACCTTGGGGTTTTCTCAGGGGAGCCTCTGCATACAGAGCCTTGTAAACTCCCCAACTCTGATCATGCTCATTTGCTTTGTTGAAGGGACCCCCTTTTCTTTCACCATGGAGCTTCTGGCTAACTTTTTGTACAGTTCTGGAGTATATGAAATCACTGGGTATAGTTTCCCATTAGATTTCCTGATCATTACTTCATCTCATGAGAACTTTAGGGTTTTACTAGAATAGCTATTTGGGAAGTAGACGGCCTGCCTCCTGTTCAGACAGCATCTTGGCAGGAAGTCAAAGTAACAAACTCTTGAATGGATGGAGTGTCTCCCTCTCTCCTGCTAGGTGCCATGACCGAGAGTGAAGAAAGCTCAGCTATTGATTTTTCTATCCATCATGCAAGTGTTCCTCATGGATGGTGAATGAGTAGAGAGTAGTTCTTCTTGTGTTCAAGCAGCCTTAAAATTTCAAGAGTAGAGTGGAGAGGGTGACTGTCTGCCTGACTGCCTCAGTAGGGGAAGGATTCTGTGTGCTACAGTGATAGGCAGGGGTACTTAATGGATTTGGAGTTGGAGAATCTCAGTTCATGTCTCAATTGTACAAAGGTAGAATCTGGACAACTTGCTTAAACTTCTCTGGGCCTCAGTTTACACATCTGTATATAAGTGAGTAGTTTATTTCCTGGCAGTTCAGTTGAGATAATAACATTCCTTCCCTCCCAGCCCCTTCTCATTTTCCTGGGTCTTCTCCTTTGAACTTCCCAATGCTTAACTATTTAAAGCCTCTAGGGGGCATAGCTAATTGCTGCAATGTCACTTATCCACTCCTTCGGCCATTGGATAAAACTGCTGAGAATGGACTGGTAGAGGGAAGGGCTCAGATTCTGTCTGATACATGTAGCATATATCAATGTCAATTTGCCTTATCCTTAAAAAGCTATCTTATATGTGCTAAAATAGAACGTAACAGTTATCTGCTTGGTTTTATTTTGATGACCATCATATTTACCACTCCTTTTGCTAAAATGAAAAAGGTGCTTCCTTCCTCCCCCTCTCTGATGATGTAATCTCCTTTGTCATAATACTCCTGTTGGGATGAGAAAAAGAAAAGTATTAGTAGACAGGAGTATTTAAGGGAAGAGCTGAAATAGCATTTCTAATCTTTTTGAAATACTGGCTACATAAGGTATCAGTCTCTGTTCATTGTGGGTTCCAAGCCTTTCATCCATCACAGTCACAGGCCTTGGAAAAGTAAAGAGTCATAGCCATTTCTGGCCCTCTTTCATTGCCTTCCTCAGAGATCATCTCTGGAACTTTGAAGAAGAGACAGACCCAGGATGTGAAGGGAACAAGAATCCAGTTCTAGTCATTCTAGGTCACTTCACATTTCTAAATCATAGCTATTTTTTCCCTAAAGACAGAAATGGAAGTAAAACTATTTCTAATGGCCTAAACCAGCCCAAAAAATATAAGTTCAGATCAGAAGAAAATGAATAATACCGAAACAAACAATATATTCTTTCCTTCAAGAGACAGGGGATTCTGGATGACACAAGCCCAGTTCCCTGAAAGGCAACAGCAGAGAGGACACCTAAAGTCCTAACAGTCTTCAGAATTCTCTCTGTGGGATGGCAAGACAACAGGGCAAAGGGGAAAGTAAGAGCTTCCCTCTAACTGCGCCTCAAGAAAGGTCAGAGTGATACAAAACACATTTTGTGTTCATAGTGTTTAATTTTCCTTTTTTCTTTCTTTCTTTCTTTTTTTTTTTTTGCTAGGGTGACTAAACCAATATAACCAACATTTTCTAAAGCAAAACTCTGTTTGGCAGAAAGAACTGGCAATTGGCTCTTCCTTCCCTACGTGCATATCTTTAATTTGAGCTAATGTCATTAATTTATAAAGCTATGATAGGTCATTTATTTTAAAATTACACAGTTAATTTCTTCTATCCCATTATCTAAAGCAGGGTTTCTTAAACTTTTTCCACTCATGACCCCTTCAGCATTTCTTAAATTGTGGGGGTCACGACCCACAGTTAAAGAAATCCCTATTAAGCAAATTCCTATAGTTTTGCAGAAAGTAGTTGGAATTGGCTTTTTCATGCATTCAGTATCTTACTCTAATTCAGTCTTATTTCAAATATTCATAAAGCTGGGAGTGGTTATTTATCTAAAAAGGATATGATTAACAGGCTTAATTTCATTTCTTGTTTGTTCCTATACACCTTGAAAAGGGATGGAAAAGCAAACTGCCCTATCTGCTCAAACATCTGTCTAAGAGGTATCTACCAATTTAAAATCCATTTACACTGTAATCATGGCTATCATTGCCCTAGTAGTATTCTTGAGACTTTGGAGAGCCTACCCCTGTTTACAGCTCATTCCTAGTCACTACTTACACAAATGTTGAATTTTAATGCTGAAAGAGACCTTAGAAGACCATCCAGGGTGAGCCACTCACTGTTCCACCCTCAAGTTCTAGACTATGCCCTCAAACTTTTGTGTGGATCAATGACAGCTAGGCCTCAAAGGAACTACTTAACCTTTGGTGAAATCTGCATTCATTAGACTTGCCTTCCGATATTAGGTGGAACTACCCAGGGAAGGAAGTTTCCTATATTTAGGTTAAGTAAATGACATGGATAGTGTCATTGAAATTGAAATTGAAAACTATTATTTTCATGCAAATTTAGCATGCATTCCCATTTTTTTTTAATTAAAAAAAATCTGAAATGAATCTGAATAAAGAGGCAGTTTATGGCAAGGTCTGAACACATGCGAGAGCCACCCAAATTTCTGACTCTTAAGTGGCTCACTCTATAAGGCCAGCAATTAGTTAAATTTATGAGAAACATTAAGAGATGGCCCTCTCTCCAACCTCTGTACCTCCTGCGCCATTAAAGGTCCAAATGGCCAGTGCTTATAACAAAGAGTTAGGTAACTTTATTATCAACATTATCAGTATCTGCCTGCAGCTCAGAAATGGACAATCAAATAAATCACATGCTTACTTGGGATAGGGTTTGAGGAATGGGTCTCAGAGATGCTTACACATTCCTCTGTTCTGCATGGCCCAATTGGCCAGGACTGTTGTTGATGTATAATTATCATTACCATTAAGAGACTTTTTAAATTTCATTCTGAATTGTAAACTGCTTCATCATTTTCATTAGCAAATGTTCACAATAAACCAATGACAGGTATCAATATTATTCCTAACTTCACTCTCCATCTAAAAACAGGGAAGCTTCAAGAACAGACCCGTAAGATCAATACACGGTTAGTTCTATTTATGCCCCCATTGTGGATGTCTTAAAGAGCAAGTTTATATCAAACACTCAGTGATAGAATATTCTGACCCACCATGGGCAGCTAGGTGATGCAGTGAATAGAATGCCAGGCCTAGAATCAAGAAGACTCATCTTTGTGAGTTCAAATGTGGCCTCTGACACTTACTAGCTGTGCCATCCTCGGCAAGGGATTTCACCCTGTTTGTCTCAGTTTCTTCATCAATGGCTAGCCAGTCCAGCATCTTTGCCAAGAGAACCCCAAAAGGCGTCATGAAGAGTTGGATACTAATAACTGAGAAGCAACATTCTAACCCCCACGCACCTAAAACCATGCCACACATGTAACAAAAATGCCTTGCTCAAGACTGCATGGCCAGATGTGATGCAGCTGGCCCTGGAACTCAACAAGGCAGCCAGCCATCCTATTCTAAAATAGCTAAGTGATTGCTTCTTGATAGGATTAGACAATTGAACTGCAACTGGTAAACACCAGACTGCTTTCAGAGCTCAATGGACTCCATTAGACCGTTGTTAATTACTTTTGCCCTTGAGAGTTTTCATTCTATAACATTTCCTTTTGGATGCCTGATACACACATAAAGCCTTTTCTGAATTATTCTGGTGCCTAAGGACACTCCAAAAGAGGCATTGCAATAGTTTAATATAAAGTACAAGATGAGACTTTGAAACTTGTAAAATTTGTGAATTATTCCTGGATTTGAGTTCCAATACACACATTCTGCAAGTACTTCCTGTAACTCTTGTAAGTATGCTTACATAACCATTTAATTTTAATGATTCAAAAATTCAATATTTGCTGTCAGCATGTAATTCTCTGGTGAATCTCCTTTAGAAATCTCATATTAAAAACAGATTTCCTTCTCTAAAGGAAAATATAGACCTTTTTTCAGTATAGGGGGAAACACACGAAAATTAGGATGAATTATTAATTTGTAACATCTGTGGAAAGTCTCAGGAGACAAAGAACAAGCAGCCCTTTCCAAAATGACTTTCAGAACAGAAACCTCTCGGGGGGGTTCGAGGTCAGGAACTATATCATCATGGCACATCCTTGATAAACTGCTCGATGGTTTTCATGAATTGTGAACAAAAGCATTAGTGGTGTCACAGGCACTTAAGGATAAAGTGGTCTCCATTCACTTCTCAAGAGATATTACTCTGCATTATCTTTTGGGACTGAAAAAAGACATAACCCTATCAACAATCAACATTGCAGAGATTTTTCTCCACTGAGAATAGTCTTCTAAAAAGTTGAAAGGCTAGATGTGACTTTGGTTACTACTATAATCCATCCCCAGTGAATTCAGTAAGCATTTCAGTTGTCATTACAATTAATCACAAAAAAGGGTACAAGAAAGCTACCTTTCTAACTTTGAGATCTGAAAAGATACAAATATAATGCAATAAAAACTAAGGTACATGTCACAAAATGTATCATTTTGAGAAAAATTAACACGTTTTGGAATAAAACCAACCATCTGAGCTTTTCTGAACATATTCCAATAAGGCCCTTTTCTAAGGTGTTAAAATTAAAAGTATAACATCTGTGGATATTTTCTTTTTTTTTTTTTTTTTTTACAAAAAGTCCATTTTCAAAGACTGAAAATAATTATATTAAAGCACACTTAGATATACTGACTTTTCCTCACTTTATTATAAAATACATTCATCATGTACTTTCCTCCAATCCTCATGCTATCTCAGTTCCATTTCCCTGACAGTTGTCCATTACACTAACTCTAAAAGAAATTAAAATATTCTTTAAATTCAAAATTCTCGCATTGTAGATTTCATTGCTGTAAGTATCCTGTCCACTGAGGGAGAATGAAACCCTTCTATGCCTTAGGAAGGTTTTATGAGTTCCATGGATGAAAAGATCCATCCCTTGAGTGCTAACTTACTGAAGATGAGCCTCCCCAAACTTAGCTAGGCTAGTCTTTTGATACCAGACACCTAGTTGGTTGCAAAGACCATTCTCATAGCCTTCCCAGTTTGGCAGGGCCTACTACATAGAATTTAAAATTTAATCATAGTGGGGCAGCTAGGTGGCATAGTGGCTAGAGCACAGGCCCTGGATTCAGGAGGACCTGAGTTCAAATCTGGCCTCAGACACATAACACTTACTAGCTCTGTGACCCTGGGCAAGTCACTTAACCCCATTGCCTAACCAAAAAATAAAAAAATAAATAAAATTTAATCATAGTCTTTGAGATCACAAGTCACATCCATAATGGGTCATCACAGAAGAATGTTGGAAGAATATTTTGACATTAATCTCAGAAAATTAAATGCCTCTTTATGTTAACATTTTAATGAATAAAATATTTGAAAAAACTAAAACAATGGTTGGCAATAAACACGCAAGCAATTTTTTAAAAAATATTTAGAAACTAGTCAAATAAGCCTTTTGCAGTCCCTAAATTGATATAAATATTTTGACTCTAGGAAAGCTATTTCTGTTAGTTAGTGACCCACTTATTTTGAACAATATTCAACACAACAAAATTCCAGTATGACAATAGACTCCAGAGACCGTGTTGAAGATCATTTAAATGGAACTTAGCCTACAAACAAAGTTCTTTGAAAATGATTTTTTTAATTTTTTTTTAATTTTTTTTTTTAGGCTATTGGGGTTCAGTGACTTGCCTAGGGTCACACAGCTAGTACGTGTCAAATGTTTGGTCTGAGGCCGGATTTGAACTCAGGTACTCCTGACTTCAGGGCCGATGCTCTATCCACTGAGCCACCTAGCTGCCTCGCAACGCCCACATTTCTTAAGTGAAGATTTATGTTTGGTTCTAAACACTCTCTTACCACTTCCAAGCAGTCAATGATCTTGGTTAGTTTATCTTCAGGTAAGTTCTTCAGCAAACACACACTGCCAAAGGAAAAAAGAAACACCCATTTAATTTCTTTTTTTTCACTAATAACTCATGCATTTTTCATATCATATTTTGACTTGTAACTTACATATACACATTTAATTAAACAAAAAAATCTTTAAGTTGTAAAGTATATAAACTGGGAGTTTTAAGGGTTAATTTTCAAGTAAATGTATGATATAAATAATTGAGGGGATAAGAGGATGGGGCAGGGGGAGAAGCTGCCAATCCCTATCTATTCTAAGGAAACCAGGGAAGTAAAATAAACTATCAAAGACTTTGAAACTAAGTGAACTTTCAAATGCATTTTCATCGTTATTCATGTACATATCTCATCTCTGCTCTACAGTAAAGTAGTCCATGAGAAAAGGGCCCATGTCTTCTTAGTCTTTGAATTCCCATACCCATTACCATGGGGCCTGGAATGTAATAGGAATTCAATAAACATTTCTAAAATGAATTAATAGAAAAATAAATAAATTGAACATCTTTTGTGCTAAAAATGAACAGTAATCAGAATTATCTTCCTCTTTCATCCCAATATCTTTTCTAACCGTCCTATTAACTCTTTAAAGAGAAGAACTAGGAGCAGCTAGGTGGCACAGTGGATAGAGCTCCAGCCTTGGAGTCAGAAGGACCTGAGTTCAAATCCGGTCTCAGACACTTGACATTTATTAGCTGTGTGACCCTGGGCAAGTCACTTAACCCCAACTCCCTCATCAAAAAAAAAAAAGTTAAAAAATAAAAAGAGAGAAGAACTACATCCAGAGGGGAAACAGATTCTAATTTGTCTGCAATTAAGTCAAGATCAGGGCCTGGAAGATAAGAAAATTTAGTCATGCTGTATCATCCTTTAAAATTACTGGTAGCCAGAGGCATGTACAGATCATAACAATAATAGCAACGACAATAATTATCAGCAGCAGCAGTTAGGTGGTACAATAGAAAGTGCAGGAGCAGTAGACAGATAAAGTCAGGAAGACCTGAGTTCAAATCCAGCCTCATACACTTACTGACAGTGTGACCCTTGGGCAAGTCACTTAACCGCTGTCTGCCTCAGTTTCCTTATCTGTAAAATGGGGATAATAACAGCACCTACCTTCCAGCGTTGTTGTGAAGATCAAATTAGATAACATTTGTAAAGCACTTAGCACTGTGCCTGCAAGATAGTGGGCACTTAACAGATGCTTTTTCCCTTCTAATTATACTAATAATAATTATATGCCTTAAATAAGATACAATATCAAAACTTAATGTCCAGCAAACAACGACAATTTGACCAATAAGTCAAACTTTCATGTTGTCTCCTACAATAAAAGAAGTTTCTGCAATACATAATTGAAAATTGTTCTTTTAGGTGAGGAAAACTGGCAAAACTTTTAGAGTATATAACAATTTTAACAGCACCAATGAATTTTTTTTTAATTGACACCACGGTGGGAAAAAGGCCACAACAAAAATAAAAACAATGTAAACAGTGACTTTGTACCAAAAACATTTCCTTAAAACACATTCCTTGAAAAATGCAAAGAGCTAACTGTAATACTGTGAACAAAACCAAGATATATTTAAGTGAAATATTTTTAATGAAATGTAATAAGAGAAAATAGTTTTCATGAGGGATCTTGTCTTACAGTCCCTCAGAGATCAATGAGCTATGGTAATTAAGGCCTATCCCCAGTCCTAATTTAGTATCCATGAAGTTTGTAAATGATCTTGCCTGAAAAAGTCTTTCCTGAGAATTATAGGAGAAAAAGATTTTCAGGAAAGAGCTTTTCAAAGAGGGCCCAGAAACACTATTTTAACTGTTTGTGCTAGGTACTAATTAACCCTTTGGGCTTCTTTTCCCCATGGCAGAATATATTGGTTTCCAAACAAGGTCTCAGATAAAGTTGGCTGCTTGTTGGGAGATGAATACTCCCCAGTAGAATACTCCCTAAGATACTGCCAACCATGACCATGCAGGTTAAATTTGTTGGTGGGCTGGGATAGGGATGAGGAGGGAAAATATTATATTGACTCCAGAATGTCCTCAATATGAAGTCTTCAGATCTTTAGTACACCTAAGTTGTGCCTTCCACCTGAATTAGTCACCCCAGGGTTATCTCCTGGTGAGAATATAGAATCCTAGAATTTTAGAATGGGGAGGCGATTCAGGTTACATCAAATCCAACTAATATCAGAAAAGCATTCTCCACCATATTTTATTTTATAACTTGTGCTTGAAAACCTTCAATGAATATATCTAAAACCAAGGATGAGCATTATATCAAATGAAGATATATTTTAAAATAAAATTTTAAAATTTTGCTTATTTAAATAAGCAGAGATGTCCATTATCATCATTACTCTTTAACAAAGGGCTAGAAATGCTTGATTTAGCAATAAGACAGGAAAAAAATTGAGAGAATAAGCATGAGCAAAGAGGAAAACAAAATTATTGCATTTTACAGATATGATGGTCTAAAGAAGCCCAGAGAATTAACTAAAAAGTAATTGAAACAATAATTTAAGCAAAGTCACAGGATACAAAATAAACACACATGAATCATCAACATTTCTATTTACTACCAATGAAATCCAGCAGGAAAAGAAAGAATATGAAATTCCATTAAAACCAATGCAGCTAAAATTAGAAAAGAAACAGGAATATGGAGTAACTGTATTTGGAGTAAGTTTCTGATTTCTAAGATATGAGTCTTTCCCCAAATGATAAATAGTTAAGAAATATGAACATGTAGTTTTCATAATTTGAGATCCAAGCTATCAAAAGCCATATAAAAATGCTCTAAATCACTAATAATTAGAGAAATTCAAATTAAAACAACTCTGAAGCTTCATCTCACGCCTATTGAATTGGCAAATTTTAAAAACGAAATTAACAAATTTGGAGGGGCTACAGGAAAAGAGGAACATTAATGCACTGTTGGAGTTGTGGTTTGAGTTAGCAAATATTCTAAAAAGCAAATGGAACTCTGTCCCCCCAAGTTACTAAACGGTGCATACCCCTAAAGGGTATGTTATTTCATTACTAGGTCTATACCCCAAAAAAAAATCAAAGAAAAAGGAAAAAGATCCATATATAGAGAAAAAAATGTAGTAACTCCTTTGGTGATAGCACTGAATTAGGCATCAAGGAAGTGCTCACTAACTGGAATGAGTAACCAATTATGACATCAGAATGTGATGAAATGCCATCGCGCCATTAAAAAATGGTAAAAGGGAGCTTTTAAGAAAAACTAAGGAAGACTTGTATGAATCTATGCAGAGTGAAGTCAATAGGACCATGTGAGCAATTTATACTATAAAAATATCACCGTAAATACAGATCACTTTAAAAGACTGAAGAACTCTCTGATCAATACAGTGACAAACCACGACGCCAAAGGACCAGTGATAAGAATGCCCCTCACCTCCTGAAAGAGAATTGTTGGACTCAAAATGTAGAATGAAACGTGCATTTTTTCAATGGCTAATACGGGCATTTTCTTTGCTCGATTTTATATATTTGTTACAAAGTTTTTGCATTATTTTTTCCTACTGGAGAGGTTGGGGGTAAGAGAGAGGGATGTATTAGGGAAGAAAAAAGTTATTTATTATAGTAAATAAATTATGTTAGGGGCACCTAAGTGGCACAGTGGATAGAGCACCTGCCCCAGAGTTAGGAGGACCTCAGGTCAAATCCAGCCACAGATGCGAGCTGTGTGACCCTGGGCAAGTCACTTAACCCACTTAACCCCAATTGTGTCCCCCAAAATTGAGTTAAATTAAAAGTTATTTTAAAAAATCCAATAAGGGGAATGCATTCCTGTGACAACTCATTCCACTTTTTGACAACTGTAATTATTAGGAAATTCTTTGGTGGGATTGGGGTTTTTTGTTGTTTTCGTTTTTTTTTTTTCTGACATCAAGATTGTGTCTATGAAATTTCTATGTACCCACTGCTTATGTTTCTGCCCTCTGGACCACAGAGAACAAAGTCTAACAACTTTTTCACATGGAAACCCTTCAAAACTTACAGGGTCAAAGATTTAGAGGTAAATGGGGCCTTAGAAGTTGTTGAGTCTAACCGTATCATTTTGCAAATGAGGAAATTGAGTCCTCAAGAAGTTAAGGGATTTGGCCAGTCATACCCAGCCAGTAAATACTCAAAGCAGGAACAGAACCCAAGCGTCTCTATGTCTAGTTCTGCTCAGTATATCTTAGCCTTCTCTTCTTCAGGGTAAACATTCTCATTTCTTTCAACTACATCTTCCACAGCATAGATTCAAGGCCCTTCTCTGAAGGCTGATTTCCCTTCTCTGGAAACTCTCCTGTTCTGCTTAAAATGTGGTACCCAGGACTGAATACAACGGTACCATGGTGGTCTGAGCAGAGCCCAGTATTAAGGGACCTCCTTAATCCTCAAAGCTCTGTCTCAATACATCCCAAGATTGGAATTTTTTTTTCTTCTTTTCACACTTCTGACTCATACAGAGTGAGTGTGCTCCAGTGGGAAGAGCCCTGAACTTGGACCTGAGTTCAAATCCTTGCTCACTTGTGTTGCCAGCTAACGATGCCAGCTGGCAGAGCCTCAGTTTCTCATCTGTAAAGTGAGAGGATTAGAATAGGTGACCTCTAACGTCCCTTCCCGTTCTACCTCTGATGGTTCCATGATGACAAGATATTTATTATTGCCACCACTTCTTCCTCTGTACATGGCTGTCTTCCCCTAAACTCCTTAAGGGCAGCGACTGTGTGGCGTCTGACTTTGTATCACTGGCATCTAGTATAGCATCTGGCTTAATAAATGCTTATTGGCTGACTGATTGATTTGTTCATTATTGCCACTGTCCAGCTTGATCGGGTTCAATCAAGCAATTTCTATATTAAAAATGTGATAACTTGTGATGCCCTACTAATTAGTAATTCCCCATAGAAATTTACAGAGGCACAAAATCGACAGTGAGAAAAAATAATATTATCTTATTAGAAACAATATCATTACAAAAGTGACTAAAGTTCCTTTAATATACAAAATAAATAAATTGTTATGCAATAGAAAAATCTTTATGCATAATAAGCACTGATAAATTTTTGAAAAAAATACTTCATGATTTCATGACCACTTCTAATAGAAAATTCTACTTTAGAATATGGAGCTGTGAGGAGGAAGCCCTGGATTTGATTTAAATCTCAGCATGGCCATTTATTGTGTGACCATGATCAATCACTTAACCTCTGTAGGCCTCATCTTCTTCATTTGTAAAGAGTGAGCTAGAATTGTCCTCTCAGTTTCATTGCAGTTCTAAATCTATGCTTCTGTGATCTCAACATCCATGCTGAAAGAGCCCACAAAAATGCCAACCAATTATAAACTATGTTTTGAAAAAAGAGGGAACTTTACGCTTTTGACAATTCTAAATATTAAAATCTAAACCAGGTGAATGGTTAAACAGAAATGTTGATTATTTTTTCACAAACTGATGATCAGTTTGTGTTCATCAGAAATGTGATCAAGTTCTCATAAACAGATTCTTTTTATTTATTTTTTCCTAGGCTCTATGTGATCACTATAGCAACAGCTACCTTTTTTGTCAAACTAATTTAATCAAAATAATAGGAATCTAAAAGAAGCTACGTAATTTCAATTAATCTCTAAAAAACAAATAGATAAATTAGAAAAAAATAAAAGAAATGAAGAATTCAGACAGGGATTTGGGTTCCAGGATAGAAGGCTCAATTAAAGGCAATGCTATCTTCATCTCATAAGATTCTCTGTAGCTGGGCTAAAATGTAGTTACTCTATTTTATGAGAAAGTCTGGTGGTTTTACTTCAAGCTGATGATTTCTTTTTTCTTTTAGTCTTGGAATGAGTATTATCAAAAAAGTAAAAATGCTTTTGATATCAGTGAAATGTATTTTTGCAGGCTCTTAATATCTGTTATCATACGTATTTTTTTCAAGATCTAACATATCTATTAGGGAGTAGGATCTTCTGTTAAAAGTCCCAGGACATTACTCTTACCTCCTAAGGAATTGTCGGTACTGTTCATCTCGAGCTTGGGCTGTTCTTCTCATAATATTCTGGAATACCTCCCTATCTAGTGCCCACGTCTTCACGTTGGTAACAGCTACAGGAAAAAGAAGGAAAAATGTTATGTGATCACTTTAACTATCAAAACTTTTAAGAAAACCAGAGAAATTCTTGAAGTAGCCAGTCATGCACTGGTCTTCTCATCCAAAGGGTTTCCCACCTGCATGAGTCCCACGAGGTCACACTTTTGGGGCCCTCTCTTACCGGGGTACACTGGACTTGATTCACTTGCTCCAAGCTTCTCTCCCACTAGCAGATTGAAGTTCTCACAGATAGACCACCAGCAGGAAGTCACATTCAAACTCTTTCAGGGTCCTAAGGAGAACCCTTTTAAAGGTAAATACACTTTTACAATACCATTAGTTCTTGAGCTTCCAATTTGGACAGCTGGCTTGAAGTCAAGAAGGCTTGAGTTCAAATGTGACCTCAGGCACTTGCTAGCAGTGAGACTCTTGGCAAATCACTTAATCTCATCAGTCTCAGCTATAAAAAAGGAATAGCACCTACCTCACAAGGCTGTTGTAAGGATCAAATGAGATAATATCTGTAAAATACCTGACATACATCTTGACATATAGTAGGCATTTAATAAATGCTTTTTCCCTTCCCTTTTTTCTCCTCCCTGCCAAAAAGAATCCAGTGTGTTTCCTATCTACATAACCAATCACTCAAAATAATGCTGAAACAATAGATCTTAAATATAACCTTGTACTTAACAAAAAGACAAAAGGAATAATAGTAATAATAGAAAGTATGTTTTAAAAATTATATAAATAACAAAATATATTGTAATACACATATAAACCCACATCATACTCTTCCACTAATGCACTCAAATGCTGTGAAGAAAATTGGACACACACAAGAACCTAGCAAGGAACCCATGAGGGAGGAAAACTCATGTGCTCAGAGTAACTCACAACTCTGGATGGCAGGCTTCAATGTGACTGGTCCACTTGGGATTATCTGTACCACACAGAGCTGTCCCTGCTGATGCTATTCACTTCTCTATTCAAACATAGCCTTAACATTTAAACTAATTATCACCCACAAAAAGGCAACTAGGAACTGTTAGCTCTTAGTGGGAATAGCAGTTCTCTGTAAGCCAAAGAAGTACAAGTCACTTCCCCCTGTTTGCCTCAGTTTCCTCATCTGTAAAATGAGCAGGAGAAGGAAATGGCAAACCACTCCAGTATCTCTGCCAAGAAAATCCCAAATAGGGTCACAAAGAGTTGGATACGACTGAAATGACTAAATAACAAAAGGAACTGTTCACTCTTATTGAGAAAAGCAACTCACCTTAAGGCAAAGTACAAAGCTCATCAAACTGGCCATCTCTAGGCTATACAAAGCAACACTTCCAGATGCTGTCCAATCAGAATACAGCTCACAACAACACAACTCTAACTCACCATGGTACCAAAACCTTCTTCTGCTTTTTCCTTCTGAAGCCAGAGAGAGAAGAACAAAAACTTGGGGAAAAGCACCTTTTCCCAACTCTAGGTGGCACTCAAGAGCAATACCTCTCAGAAGATGAAATAAATTTTCTCTGCAGCCAATCAGGAATGATGCAGCAGAAGCATCATCTCAGCTGACTGCTTCTAACTGCCAGCAACCGCAAGGCAGCTTCTCAGCCCCACAGTGGTGTCTCCAGCTCCTATTCTCAGCTTCCTTCCTCTTCCTCCCCTGCTGTGGCTGCTATGAGGCATTCAGGTGCTCAAATGAGAGCCTACAGTCTCTCAGTGACACACTTTTCACTGAAAAGCTCACAGCTCACAAATTTGTTCTATAAAATCAATAGCCATTTTGTAAATCATCCCCCAGCCTCAAAATGTTTATGTAATTTCTCACTGTCTTATTTTTGCCTTTTTTATTCATCAAACATGTATATGCTAATTAGCCGAAGTACCCATAATGCTTGTAGCTCTTGAGCACTCACTCTGTCGTTGGTACCATGGTAACAAAGTACTCTTTCAATGGTACCATGAAACTGAGTTTCTTAGCAATCCCATTTTTTAGTTTTTAATAAATAAATAAAAAATCTCTGTCTCTTTATAACATTCAAATGTTCCCATAGAAGTGAGGTATTTACTCTACCTTGTTGTAAAGAAATCTAAGTTCCCACATCTATATTACAGATCATGTTCTCTCCAAAACTGTCCAACTCCCATCTGAAAATTTACACATATATATGTTTGTGCATGTATGTATTCCTATATATGTGTATATGTATATATACATTGCTAATATATTGTGATGTGCACATATACATACACATATGTATGTCCACATATGTGTTTACATATGTATTATTCTGTACATGTGTGTATACACATATACTAGCATTGTATATATGTACATATGTGTAGATATATATACTCACATATATTAACAGTGCATATTAAAACAAAGTTCTTTTTTCAATTTGTGTTAAGTATCAAAATGTTCACAGTAGTAATAACTTACATCCTTTAACAATTAATATAAATCTCTCCCCTTGCATAAAATCATTTTTTCTGCTCTTACATTACTGCTATAACCAGTTTGACCCTGGGACCCCTCCAAACCCTATCCTGACCACCAGGTCGAAGCAAGGACTCATCACCATCTGTACCACCCTCAATTTGCCCTGTCTATACGTGGTCTGGATTTAGTTGTTTGTATGTTGTCCGTCCCCCCCAACACACACCATTTGACTGTGGACTCCTTTAGAGCAGAGACTGTTTTTTGTCTTTCTTTGTATCCCCAGCATTTAACACAAGTGCCTACCTAGCACATAGCAGGTACTTAAATACTAGCTGACTGACCCGCCTAACACTGGCCGGTTCCTGACATAGACATTCCTTAGACCCACAATCCTGGGGCAGATAAATCACTCAACATTAGAGGCAGCATTAGCATAGAGCTGATCTGGCTGACATCTATCTGCGTCAAACTATGTTTGTGAGATTAATCCTTTTGCCTCTGGTTCAGGTAAGAGTGAAGTTCATTTAATGTCCATTCCAACCACCCCTTCTTCTATGTTTGTAAACTCAAGTTTCACCCACCTTTTCCTTCTTTCTATACTCGTGTGTAGAAATTCACCCTTTCACCCTTCATTCCTTTGCTCTTCTGAAAGTCCTCAGAACAGAACCAATCCACCCACCCCTCCAGGACCTCAGTTTTTTCTTATCTAATTCCCTCAATATCCTTTGGTTCAAAACTCTAAGGTTCTGAAGACACACTTGTTTCTTCTCATCCTCTACCATCATACAACTCTTTCCCAACTACTCATATACACTTATTTTTCTAAGTTTCTCTGGACTCTCATATCTGCATTTCAAAATCCCATTCATCTTTGGTCTTTTCATCAGAAATGTTTGAAAGTCTTCTATTCCATTAAAAATCCATTTTTTCCCTGTAGGATTATACTCAACTTTGCCAAGTAAGATATTCTTGATTGTAAACCTACATTTTTTGCCTTTAAGAATATCATATTTCAAGCTCTTCACTCTTTCATGGTGGTGGTCGTCAGATTTTATGTGATCTTGATCATGATTTCTTGATATTTCAGCTGCTTCTTTCTGGATGCTTGCAATATATTTTCTTTAAAGTGGAGTCTCTGGATTTGGGCTATGTTTCTGGGAGTTTTCAGTTTGGGATTTCTTTCAGGAGGTGATCAGTAGAATCTTTTTTTTTTTAATTTCCCCCTATAGTTATAATAGATTTGGGAAGTTTTCATATAATTTCTTGAAATAAAGCAGCTAGGTCTATTTTTAAATCAGTTTTCAAGTAGCCCAATGATTCTTAAATTATCTCTCTTTGGCCTGTTCTTCAAGTCAATTCTTTTTGATATCAAGTATCGTTATATTTTCTCCTATTTTTTAATCCTTTGATTTCGCTCTAATATTTCTTGCAATCTCATGGAGTCATCGACTTCTGTTTGGTCTGTTCCATATTTTAGGGAGTCCATTATTGGGTGAGTTTTACCACTTTCCATTCTAAGCTATTTATTTCCCTCCAAATTCTTTCTTCCAGAACTTTTATTGTGATTTTTAGCTCTTGCTTCATTTCTTCTAAGTATCCATGTAGTCCACGTGGAAAGTCCATTTTTCCTTTTGAACCTCTGTTTACAGTTGTTACAGAGTAACTCTCTCCTTCTTTTGAGGGATCTCTATATCTGCAATCACGTTTGATACTGGTCAGTGTTCTTCTTTGATCTGCTCATCTCTCCAGTTGTAGTTCCAGACCTGGGGCTTGGTGCCAGTGCCAGTGGGATGGTCAGCCCTGTTTGGCCTAGCCCTGTCCCTTGGATTATTGCGTGACCCCACTTCTCAGGGTTAGGCCCTTTGAAGTTCATAAAATCAGATATTTATGGTTCTCTCTGGTTTCTCAGGACGGAATAATCGGAATATGTCAACCAGTACATCAGCACTGGTCTTGGCCACTGACTGCTACTCTCTTGGGCATCCAAGCTTCCTACCATGAGCTTCCTGTTTATCTTAGGGCCTTCTCAGGGGAAATCCTTTATTCTTGCTGTCTCCAGACTTAGAACCTTGGAGGCAACGTATATCCCATCTTTGGTTGTGCTGTTCGACATTAAACTTGCTGGAGGGACAGCCCTTCCAATAGCCTGTGGGCTTGTGGCTGATTTTTGTGTGGCACTAGAGTGAAAGAAATCACTTAACGTAGGTTCTCACTGGAGTTATTGATCATTATTTTGTGTGCTGACTAACTTCATGGCTTTGCTGGAGAAGGTACATGGGGACTGAGCACTCTACTTCCTGCTCAACCTGCCATCTTGAGCAGAAGTCTGAATATAAGATTCCAAAAGGCAGAAGGTGTGGACTTACAAACAAGAAGAACTTACTCTGAAAAGCTGAGTATGATCCTCCAAGGGTAGAAATACATCTTTAACGAATAGAAGACTTTCAAACATTTATGATGAAAATATCAGAGCTGAGTAGGAACTCTGAAATGCAAACACAACACTTCAAGAGAAACCCAGGAAAGTGAATTTATTTTAACGGCTGGAAAAGGCTTATATGATGATGCAGTCCCAAAATTTTTATATTGTAGGGATTCTCTACATGGAAGACAACAATATGGCTTTTTGAAGGTATTTTTATAATTGTATGTTGATGTAATTTATTTACTTTGTAATCCTATGGTTTTATTTTATGTACTTAAACACATTATCTTGAGAAAGAGACCATCAGACTACCAAAATGATGAAATAACACATCCAAAAAAAAAAGGATAAGAAGTCCTGTAATGTGAGAAAAAGAAACAAATGTCCTTTATAATTTCAGTTACTTTCAAAGGATCTTGAGGAAGTTAACTAAGAAAAACTGGGTTTCTGGGAATATACTGGTTCTATTTTAGGAATTTTAAGTTTCAAAAAGTAGGGTGGGTGGAAAGGAATACAGTAGTGTCAAAGGGAGAAAGAAGGGGAAGGAACTTGCTATAAGAGGAGTATATGAGAAGAAGCATATGCAAACATGGAAGAAGAGGTAGTGGGCATCAGATAAACTTCACTCACAGAAGTTCACAGGCTCTAAAATTCAAGAAAGAAAGCTGTAGTAAAATTTCTGTCCTTAATAACGCCTATGCACAAAAGCACAAGAGCTTTTGGAAAAAACTTTTTGGAAAAAGAAGAAGAAGGAGGAGGAGGAGGAAGAGAAGGAGGAGGAAAAAAAATAATATGCAGAGAAACAAGAGAACCATACACAATATGCAACATCATAATTCAAATTAAAATAACTCTAAAAGATACTACCTGTATTAAAGGCAAAGAACAATTCTGGCTCCAGAGGACCAATAATGATAGGCATTTTCTTCCTCTTGACAAAGAGGTAGTCAATACAGATGCAGAATGTTGCATAATATTCTGTTAGATATGGTTACTGCAATGTTCCTTTATTTTTAAACAAGAGAAGATTTTATGGGAAGTGTTATTGGTGCGTAACTGTCTTGTTAAAAAAAAAAAAGCAATTTTTTAAAATAAAATTTTCCTAGCAAGGTGGAATGGGATATCTTGGAAGGTATTGAGCTACCGCTCACTTTAATTCTTTAAGCAGAATCTGTATGATCCCCTGTTTTGAATTTTGTGGTGAGATTTCTTCTTCAAATATGGGTTAGACTAAGCCTATGAGGTCATTTACAACACAGAATCTCTGGCATTAGGTCTGTGATTAGGACTCGTACTCTCTAAGGTCATATTGGACACCCTAAGTCATTGGGAGGTAGTTCAGATGGATGCTGTCATACAAAAGGAAACTAGCCTATGGTTAATCCTGAAGGTGTATAATTCAGTTGAAGATGCTTTAAAGTTGAGTCTATATTTTTAGGACACCTCTTGTGGTATTTTTCTATGGTACTTCTCCTTCTAATAGTCCGGGGACTGTCATCTTGTGATAATATAGATAGGTTTTTCTTGTGAAAGATTCTTTAACCAGCGTTATGTAAAAGAGAAGGGTAGATGGAGAAGAGCAAAGATGAAGATGGAAATAAAAACAGGCAAAAAAAAAAAGAATGGGTGAACGATTGTTTCCAGCTGAAATCATGGTACTAAAATGAGAAAAAGGAAATGACTTCACACAAAAACCAAAGGAACATAGTTGCAAAGATCAATAAAGATAAAAAAAAATTAAGAGATGCAATGTCTTTTCTGATTTTTTTTTAAAGAACAGAACATTTTACCAACAAAGATGTATTAGATGCTTACTATGTGCAAGGTACTTGGGATACATATAAGACCATAGATTTAAAGCTTAAAGACATGTAGGACATCTTGTCCAAGCCCCTTACTTCACAACTGACCTTAAATGACTTGTCATAGGTCATATAGATTATTTAGGGATAATACATGTAGACAAAAAAAATAACAGAAGTTATAAGGTGAGCTGTGCACAGAAGTGATCACAGTGGCATGAGAGAGCAGAGGGGATCAATTTTGGTTGATGGTTAAGAAAAGTTTTCATAAGTGAAGGGCTAGTCACATAGAATGAGGGACAACTGGTACACTGTGTGCTCCACTGGTATTCCTGCGATGTCAAGAAAAAATTTTTAAAGTGCCAATGCATTGGATGGAACCCCTTGATGAAGTTATGAAAGATACAGACTGGAGTCCCACAAAGTAGGCAAGCACAGACAGGCTGCAATCTGCATTGTTATTAATAATGCCCACTTTGGTGAGGTCACAGATATACTTCAATATTATAATAATGCGATTAAAAGTCATTTTCATGTTAAATATACAGATACCCAAGGGGAAACATTCTATTTATTTAGATCACCTGAATAATTTCAGTAATTCTCTATTTCACTTTCCAAAAGCACATTCACTGTTGGATTACCCAATGTACTGTCAATGTACATTTAGATAAGAAAATACCATATAAATACTTCACATCTTATAAGAATAGTGACTTTAGTATATCTAACATTTTTTTATTAGTTCAACATTATGGGAAATATACCTTTTACTGAAGCCGTTCTTGTACAGTTGTATAAAATGGCTAGCTCGCCAAATGTCGTCCACATCGGGATTGATGATAGAAGCTTGTTTCCTTGGAATACCTCTACTCTTCCCTCTAAAATTAGAAGGTAAGTACCATAAAATCAAGCTGAATTACATAAACTAAATGAGAAAATGAATCAAAAAGCACACAGATAAAAATAAATAACAAAGAAAGATTTATATAACAAAGCTCCCTTCATGTTCTGATGTATGGAAGAAATTAACAGGGTTTTGCTAATCTGCTTAATATTAATTGTCTATAGTTAAAACTTATATAATGAATGCCTAAACATCATTTAACATAGTCTTTGACTTTTCTTAATGGTCTGGATAGAGTGCTGACCCTGGAATCAACAAGCCCTGAGTTCAAATGTTGTTTCAGATACTAACTAGCTGTGTAACCTTAGGCAACTCACTTTACCTGCCTGCCTCTATTTCCTCATCTGAAAAAAAAAAGGGGTATAATAATAGCACCTGCCTCCTGGAGTTTTTGTAAAGCTAAAATGAAATATTTGTGGTGCATTTTGTAAACTTTAAATCAGTATATAAATGTTAGCTATTATTATTACTTCACACAGTCCACCACCCTGAGAGTGGGTGTGGAAAACATAAACAATAAGCAAACCATCACCAACAGTAATATCAACAACAAAACAATCCCAACACGAAAATTATCTAGTAGTTTAGTGGAAGAAAGGCAATATATAACATATCCCTCTGTCCCTATTGAGTTCAAAAGCATTTAATTTCATTTTTCCTTAATTCATTACACAGATGCTGGATAACTTCTGAGTCATAATTTGGGATACATATTTTAAGCAAAAATGTATTTATTTAAACTGCATGTCATTACAACAAAACTCATCGGGTCACTCTGCAGAGTTTGTTAAAATGGAATCTTGCTTGAATTTCATCTTTCTCATCCTACAGGAGAATTTAAATCATAGTAATCAGAATGTGCATCTGATTGGAAATCAGCTGGGAATGAACCTTAACTTTATAATTAATTAGCTGTATGACTTAAGGCAAATCAATTAAATCCCTCCTTCCCCAGCCCGAATATGAAGTGAAGATACCACTTTAGGATCTTGGGCTTGGAAGAGGTCTTAGAGTCTTTGTAGTTCACCCCCTCCCCTCATTTAACCTCAAGGAAACTAGGACACAGAAAGATGAAAACCATGCCCAAGTTCACACAGGTAATAAGTAGCAGAATCAGGATTACTACCCTTGTCCTCTAGCTACAAATCTGGTGCTCTTTGCACTATACCATGCTGTCATTGGACTTGTGGGATCAAATGAGTAATCTTTTGGTAACTAAAATCTTTCCCCATGCCTGGCTTAATTCAATTTGTTCATGGAATATCACTTTTCATGAACATTTACACTGTTAAAAAACCCTTTCCCGTAATAACCATTATAAGCAGGTAGTGTATTATTACCCCCTTTTTAGAATTTAGAAATATGAGGATCAAAGAGTAATCACCTATAGCTTCTGTTTAGAAACCTCCAGCAATGAAAATTAATCATCTCTCAATAACACCTACTCTATTTTGGGATAACTCTTAATAACCAAGCTGCTCTTCTTTAAAACTGTAATGTGTCATTTCAATGCAGAGTGAATTACAAAGTGTTCGAGATGAAGAGATCTTCAGGACAGAGAAGTAAAATGAGATGACCAGAATGAAACTGCTAATGTACTGGTAACCACTCCAATGCTTTATAGGAGTTAGCATTGGGAGGGGCTTAGAGATCATTCCAACTATCCCTCAGTTGCTATATGAGAGGACCAAGTGATATGCTCAAGGTCACACTGGCAGTATATAGAAGAACTGGGAAGATTCAGGTCTTCTGACTGCAACAATTCAGGGCTCTGTCCACTATAACTTTCAGGGAATCTAATAGCCAAAAACGATCCAAAAGAGACATGAAAAGTGATATTCCATGAACAAATTGAATTAAGCCATACTTAATTCTATTGATCTATTCAGATAACCAAAGAACAGAATCACAGTCTTCTATGAGATGTGAATAGGAATATATATATATATATGTACACATATACATGCATGTGCATATAAATTCACTACATATATACATGTATGCTGTGTATATGCATACTTATGTTTAAATCTAAAACTTATACTCTTGACTTTATAGCCTCAAGGATCAAACCTAGTCAAATCATTTATTGGATTATTCAAATCAGAGAAAAGCATAAATAAAAGTCAATAGTCTGAAACAGTACTATCATCACTCTATTCTTAGTAGTCTAGTTTGGTACCTTACACTCAACTGTCCAAACTGGGGCTAGTTTCAAACTTGGCAAGCAAAGGGTTGAATAAATACTTATGATTCATCTTCATTTGAGAATTGCTCTCTTTTTAGCTTCTATTTCTAAATCCGGTGGTATTCACTGTCTTCCTAATCTTCTACAAAAGAGTATGGGACAGGAAGGGAAATATTTTAGTGGTTTATAAAAAGGATTGAAGAGCTCTAATCCTGCCACATTTTACTGCATTTGTCTATGTATCGGTTGGTTTCAACTTCTCATTCAAAAGACTGTAATTTTCTTTGGAGTATATTAAAAATGGTTTATTTTAGTCCAAGAAAGTCAACATCTGGGGCAGCTAGGTGGTTCAGTAGATAGAGCATCGGCTCTGAAGTCAGGAGGACCAGAGTTCAAATCTGGTCTCAGACCAAACACTTGACACTTATTAGCTGTGTGACTCTGGGCAAGTCACTTAACCCGAATTGCCTAAAAAGCAAACAAAAAAAAAATAAACAAAAAAAGAAAGTCAACATCAGAATTTCAATATTAACTGCAGTACTGCAAGTTAAATTGTCTTTTTTTTTTTTGAGGGAGAAAGAAACAAGTGATGCTGATATCTCTGGGATGGAATGTAGGTTTTATGCATTACTATTTCCTAAACTCAAGGTAGCTAGGTGACTCTGTGGATAGAGTGCCAGTGTGTGAAGTCAAAAAGACTCATCTTCTGAGTTTAAATCTGGACTCCGACACTTACTAGCTGGGTGACCTTGGGCAAGTAACTTAACATTTGGTTGTCTCAGTTTCTTTATCTGTAAAATGAGCTGAAGAAGGAAATGGCAAATCACTCCAGTATCTTCACCATGAAAACCCAAATGGAGTTACAAAGAGTCAGACACAACCAAAAAAATGATTAAACATCAAAAAATTTGCTAACTTCAGCCAAATTAATGAAGTGTTTTGTTTTTTTTTTAAGTTCTGGAACACATCAAAATACAGCAAGCAATATAATTGTTGCTCATAAGAATCAAAAGCCCTAATTAGTCAAAGACTCACCTGCCAATACAAAAATATGATTTCCTGGTTCTCCTTGCTTAATAATATAACTGCCTTGCGGGTAGTTTCTCCCGTACATACATTCCACCATATCTTTGATCTGCTGAGGGTCCAGTCTCTTCAAAAACTGATTTTTATTCAGGGCATCTGTGATGAGCTTCTTGTCACTGGTGTTATACAAAAGAAATGTTAGTTTGTAGGAAGTAAAGAACAAAGTCACCTGCCATATCATTTTTTACTTTAATTTTTCTGTTTGGCTACCAACATGGAGGACCACAGAATTAGACCATATGGGACTTTCAGGGCTATATATTCCAACCCCCTTAATTTAAAGATAAGGCCCAGAAAGTTTAGGTTAAGTGACTTGCCCAAGGTCACAGGTACTAAATAATAGTGCCAAGATTCTAACCCAAGTCTCCCAACTGTTTCTACTATGCCATTCTGGTTTGCCAATGAGGAATTTCTGCCAATGGAAAGAAGCTACATTTAACATCTCTGAGGGCTTTCAAAGACCAACAAAGCACTTCATCCATAGAATTACTGTACTTATTTTTTTTTTGGAAGACCACTGGAAAAGTTTGGACACATTTTTGTGATTTTTGTTTTTAAATAAACATTATTGATCGAGCCTTGTAATCATCTTTTCTGAGATTTCTTCTTTCTAATATCTTCTAAACATTACAGATGAAGATTTGTTCTTCAGAGTAGAAAATTGAAATATCATTGACTGCTTGAAGCACTTTTCCCAGTACACATGGTGGGAAAGGAAGGAAGGAAGGAAGGAAGGAAGGAAAGAAGGAAGGAAGGGAGGAAGGAAGGAAGGAAGGAAGGAAGGAAGGAAGGAAGGAAGGAAGGAAGGAAGGAAGGAAGGAAGGAAGGAAGGAAGGAAGGAAGGAAGGAAGGAAGGAAGGAAACATTTATTAAGTCCCACTATGTGCCACACACTGTTCTAAACACTTTATAAATATTATTTCATTTGATCCTCATAACACCCCTCATTTTACAGTTGAGGAAACTGAGACAGAGAATATAAGTGACTTGCCCAGGGTCACACATCTATTAAGTGTCTGAGACCACATCTGAACTCAGGTCATCCTGACTTCAGGCCCAGCATTCTATTCACTGTGTCAATTGGTTGGTAGGAAGAGTTGCCAAAGTATTTATTCTAGGTTTTCCCTCTATCTCTAACCACATTTTCACTCCAAGTATACTCATGGATGGGTAAGTTAAGAGTTTCATCTCTTTTGAAGGGTAATTTGATTTCCTTTCCATTTAAATGTTATTTTAGAGCTTGAAAGGATCTTAAGGACTCTTTTGCAAAGAAGAAATTTTACCACTAGTAATTATCACAGAATCCCAGCTTTGGAAGGGAAATCAGAGGCAATAGAGGACAACTAAGTAAGAATGACTTCTACAGGGAGGTGAAGCCAAGGTGGCAGAGTTAAGGCAGGAACTTGTTTAAGCCATCCCCCAAACAAACCCTAGAGCAGAAGAACCCACAAAAAGATGTAGTGAAGCAAATTTCCAGCCCAAGACAACTTGGAAGATCGGCAGGAAAGGTCTGCTGCACCAGGGTGAGAGAGGAGCACAGTTCAGCATAAGCCACGCCAGTGCAGACTGGGCCCCAACAAAGCTGTAGCAGACCTCAGGGCAAGTGAATCACTCACAGCAGTGCTGTTTTACAGACCTCTCAGCCCACAAATGCCAAAGACAACTTAGAAAGTCAGCAGTAAAGGTCCATGGCACCTCGGTGAGAGTGGAGCACAGTTCAGCACAGGCCATGCCAGCACAGCCCCAGCCCCAGCAAATCAGGAGCAGGCCTTGGGGGTGACTGAATCAGCAGCAGCAGCAGCACCAGCTGCTTCCAGATGGTAAGGGGGTCAAACAACTGGTCAGAGGAGATTACAGGTCTTTTTGTCAGCACTAAGGTAAGCTTCTGTTGCTTTGTCCATACTCAGAGCTGGGTCCTAGGTGAGAATGAAAAAGAGCATTAGCACAGCAGAGCTTGCAGCCACAGTGGAAGGAGACCCTCCTCACAGTTCCAGGGCAGAAAAGAGTATCACAGACCAGAGCACGGACCAAGAGAGTAGTAAACACCTCTCCTTAGTTCATACCACCTTGGAAGAACTGAAAACTTACAGGTCCTTAAAAGTATCTCTGAAAACAGTTGCACAAAACCCCTAGAGCTTGGGACAGTGCGCCCTCGACCCAGGAAGCAGAGCCCTACCTTAACAAAGTCTTAAAAGTCAACGAATAGGCTGGGGAAATGAGCAAACAGAAAAAACTCTGACTACAGAAAGTTACTATGGTGACAAGGAAGCTCAAAACACACATTCAGAAGAAGAAAACAAAGTCAAAGCTTCTACATCCAAATCCTCCAAAAAAAATATATGAATTGGTCTCAGGCCAAATCAAAAAGGATTTGAAAATCCAATAAGAGAGGTAGAGGAAAAATTGAGAAGAGAAATGAGAGTGATGCAAGAAAATCATGAAAAACAAGTCAACAGCTTGGTAAAGCAGACATAAAAAAGTGCTGAAGAAAATAACACCTTAAAAGAATCACTTCTACAATATGTCATTCAGGCCATGGATAAGCCCTTGTTGCACACACTATCTGACTGACAGGGCTGAGTCAAGGCTACAGTTCTGTCACCCAGACACCTGCCTAGACCAACAGCTGGCAAACCTTAGACCGGGAGAGCTGGAATAAGGCTTCAACCTTGATCAGACTGTGTACAGCACACGATGAGTTTAAAGGAACACAGACTGATCCATCATGATCAGCATTAGGAACCAGGAGAACACATATCAGAACCAAACAAGGCCAATCCCAGGATGGGTGTAGGTTTAAAGAGGGGACATATACCTAGTGATGATATTCCAGAGAGATGGGCCCTAGCTTGTGCACCTAGCAAAAAACAAGATAAAAAGCAAGCAGAAGCAGAGTGGCTCTGATCCCAGGAGCAAGCAGGGTCTCAGTTCCAGCCCCACACCTGGTCAGAAGTCTACCGAGAGACAACCAGGGCAGGAAGCCCAGACCAGCAAAGCTTCCCAGCTATACAATAGTGGCTGAGTCCAATAGCAGTCTACTGACACTCCAACCAGGGGCAAGTTCACAAGTATGTTTCTGACCAAACACAAGTCAGGAACTTGCAGAGCTAAGAGCAAGGTGGCAGTGATCAGACTTTGCCCTAGACAAGATCACTTAAGGAAGAAGGAAAGGTTGCAAGTTCCCAACCCAAGCTGTCTGTGAGATCCTAGGATAACACAATAATCAATACACCAAGAAAATAGCAATAGGACCCAAGAGGGCATATGTTCAATCCAGTCATCCCCTCCAGAAATGTGCAGAGACTAGATCTAATATGAAGTCTGAAATTAAGTAGGCAAGAAAAAATTTTTTTAAAGGACTCCCATAATAAAGAACTATTTAAGGACATTGAAGCAAGGATGATCAAGACACAAACTTAAAAGAAGAGAATGACCCCAAAACATCTATAAACAAATCCTCAACAACAACAACAAAATGCTATCTTGGGCACAAGTTTTACTAGAATTTTGAAGACACAAGGCAAGAGGTTTTTAAAAAGAGTTTAAGAGGTTTTATAAATTAAATAAGAGACTAGGGAGTTTTTTTTTAAAGGTGGAAGAGAGAGAAAGGAACTTTTTGATAATTGAAAAAAAATGATTTGAACTTTTTTTTTAAAATGAGTAAAAAGTGAACAAAGAAAAAAAGTTGAGACAAACCTAAAGGATCCTTCAGCCAAGTTTTTAATGGCTAAAATTCCTTTGTTTGCATAATTACTGAGAATTTCTTTATGTTCACCCTACAAGTTCCTAACCCCCTGGGCCTGGAAAAGATGCATAGGAAAAATACGGAAATAACACCAACCTGAGTGTGAAGAAGAGAAGGAGTAAGAAAGAGCAATTCAAAAGCTTCATGCCTTCTACCACCTGATTTTCAATTCAGCCAATTCTGAGTGAAGAGGGAAGTGTGCAATTGGGCTGGCTGACCCACCAACCCTTGATTAGCAACAAGGTGGATGAAAGGGACAAAATGACTTCATGCCATTAAACCTAAGAAAACACTGCCAAAAATATGTATTGATGTCAGAGATTCATTTCTTTTTTTTTTAATTTAATATGCATTTCATACTATTGGAGCAGAAATGCAGCAGGAAAGGAAGAAATCAATAGAATATCTAGCTCAGGATGAAATGAATCATTCTGTATCTGTTGCTGAAAACAAGGGCCATGAGTCTTGAAGTAGGTATCTGTATCCCACACAGAGGAAAACAAACCTAACTCTTGCTATATTGAAACCACAATGGTCTGAGCTCAGCTCACCCATTAGTGAGGGCAACACATAGGGATAACAGAACGTTGGTCACCAAAAGTCAGAAAAGTCAGAAGGAAATTAACAGAACCACAGAACATTATATATAACATAGTCTGTGACTCTCAACCGATGGCAGGAATGGCATCCCTGACCAATAACTATTTAACTTCCCAAAAATATGACAAGAAATGGGGAGTTCACTAGTTCATGTGACAGCTCATTTCCTTTTAAAACCACTCTAGTTTATAAAATGTCATTTTTTCCCATTCATTCTTTCTTTTGTTCCTTCCTTTTCTCTTTCATTTCTTCCTTTCTCTTCTCTTTCCCTTCTTTTATCCCCTTCCACAATGTCCCTCCCTACTTTCTACCCAGGTAACCAGGGGTGCAATGGTTGAAGTGCTGTGTCTGAAGTTAGGAAGATGAATTCAAATATGGCCTCTGACATTAGATAGCTGTGTAACCCTGGGCAAGTCATTTAACTTCTGTATGCCTCAGTTTCCTTATCTATAAAATGGGGATAATAACACCACCTAATTCCAGAGTTATTATGAGGACCAAATGAGAAACTATTTGTGAAGCATTTACTTAGCACAGCATCTGGCACAGAGTAGATACCTAATAAATGCTTGTTACCTCCCCATCCAACCACTTTACTTTTCTTAATTTTTTTTTAAAGTTCTTTCTTAAGTCAAGACAAAAATGTGTCCCACCTGTTGGTTCTTATTCTGGCCTCCACAGACAGAAAAAAATCTATTCAAGATTCTCAATAATTAACATTTCTATAGCTCTTTAAGGCTTTCAATGCAATATATAACATTATCTCATCTG